ATGAATTGTTATAGTTGTTCACAGTACTTGTTTTTTTTTTCATTATAAACATATATTGAAAAATGCTAAATATATCCAATGTAGATTTGTCTCAGGTCTTTTGAGCACTTTTTAAAATTTTAAACCCGTTCATTTTCTGTATGTGCTTGACCCAAATCGGGAACCACTAATTTGCTGCTGTTAATCATGTTTGTTTTTCATCTAAAAAATGTACACTAAAGTAAGAGGGTAAGAATGCCCTTTTCCGTCAGGCGTCAAACGGTCATTTTCTGAAATGTTTCATGAAAAATAATACAATTGACAGCAAAGAATTACTGGTTCCGTACTCGGGGTCGTAATGGAATTACCTTCATGACGAATAACGGTAAAAAGCTGGACTATTTATTTGTTAAATCCCGTTTTTGATCACTTCAAACTTTGAAACGTAAGGCAATAAAGGTAATCATTGGGACATTCCTACAATGACTGCCCATGAAAACTACGTACATTCGATATGGATTCTGTCAACTGACATTAGTTCGTACATTGATATTTCTGTGAACTGACGGTGCATCGTTTGAAGTGTAAAGCACCAGCAGATTTACGTGTGTGCTTGACTCTTTAATATCGAAATAACATACTGAAATAATCTAACTTTCGTTTTAAAAACGCATGTTTTCTAAAACAGGAATATGACTTGATTGCCTTAAAGATCTGAACACAGATGGAACAACTAAATCCGTGTATTTTTGTCAAGCATCATTGAGTTGAAGTCGTACTCTCATCGAAGATACTCAAAATTAACATAAAATGCATTTTTAAATTAATGAAAAATCTGTTTATCATTATTTTGAAACTTTCGGATGCACAGTGCACATGCGAAGATACGTAACCAACGTGGTTTGGATTAACCCAACTAATCCAGTTGTTTTATTCCGATTACTCCAACGAGAAACTGCAGTGCATGGATGGAAGGCGCTGAATCTTTTGAAACTTTAGTACCCCACCACGATATGTTTAAGGAATAACCGTTTCATAGATGATATCGGATATGTTCCTTATGTCGTAACTACAAAACCCTTCACTTTTCACGAATGTGACCTACCGAATTAGACTATTTTCCGGATTTGTAATAACATAAGCAAATCGACGGGTGCCACGTGTGGAGCAGGATCTGCTTACCTTCCGGAGCAACTGAGATCACCCCCAGTTTTTGGCGGGGTTCGTGTTGCTTAGTCTTTAGTTTTCTATGTTGTGTCACCTGTACTATTATTTGTCTATTTGTCTTTTTATTTTTGGACATGGCGTCAGTTTGTTTTCGATCTATGAGTTTGACTGTCCCTCTGGTATCTTTCGTCCCTCTTTTGTAATTATCTCCTAAGTGTTAAACTTATATCCCAAGTGGGAGTGCTCCGGTATATAACGGAGGAAAATGCCTGTACAGAACATTCGAGTTAGTTTCGGATTATAATCAAAGTAACGCATGCGTAACACCAAATCTACTTTAAAAACATTCGGGTACAAGTAAATAAATAACGTATATGCAAGATGAGATGAAATCTAATAATTAACATAAATAAAAAGGTAGATATTAAATCATTTAAACATGAGAAATTATGATACTAACGATAGTGATTATTTTTTCAGGCCTAGCTGTACATTTGTTTTATAAAATGATGCTGATGCTCTTTTACAAACTTGAAACCAATCATGTGTAAACATCGGTGTCAAGATATAGCACGGAAGTTATGAAATTGTAAAGCACAGAACGGGATACGGCAACACTCCTGGTGACGGTTCAATGATTTTACAGCCGGCAGTATAGGATTTCAGAAGACTTCAAAGTCTTCTTCCACCAAAAACTAACAGGCTCATTAAAATGCATCAAGCTGACAAGTTGTCACAGCAAGTTAAGATGGTCAGTTAGGGGAAACTGAGAAGAAAATAATCTAGACAAAAACAAACAAAATTCATATTAAACGTACAAACCACGAAGAGCCACTGGTCTGACACGTGTTTCAAAATGGTCCGAGTTGTCTTTCAAACTGGTCCGAGCTATCTTTAAAATTGGTCCGAGTTGTCTTGGTCCGATGCCTTTGGTCCGAATTGTCCTGATTCCGATTAAAGACGTGGGTCAACACACGAACGCATGATACTGTACACTGTTAACATGATTATATAATCGGTGTTGTGATTCAATCCTGCAGATCGTACTAGTATAGTCAGTATATGTGTATAGGTCGATAGCTTATCGGTACTTGACTGATACCGACCATTTATCTTAATTTGGTTATGTTTATTTTTCATAAATTTTTTTATTTAATGTCTCTAATTTTACATCTCTTAGAAGAAAAAAGGTTTTTGCACTTGTTGTTTTAAAGGGAAATTGAAGATCCCTACCCGATCCATTACGTACATCAGAGACATATATATGTCTCTGCGTACATGTATGAGGGGCCTGATGGGTTATTTTCGTTCTTCGTGATCGGCGCATTTTCGCTATCGTGATCCGTTTTTCTACAGATTTACTTTTTTTTTATATTTTCGTGATCCGTGATCATGGAAATTCATTTTCTGTGAATCGTGATTGATAAAAAAATCAACTCGTGAATCGTGATGAGAACATGTATCACTATCAGTAGTCAGTTGACCCCGATGGAAAACTGATAGAGATTTATATAAGATACAATTAAAGTGCCATAATTAATTTTGGTTGGGATTGCCTACAGCTACTCAAAGCATTTTAATAGGGGGGGTAGGACCTTTATCGGGACTCCGGGGTCGGGTATTTTTAAGCTCGGGATTTCGGGATTGATCCATTCGGGATCCGGGAATTCTTTTTTCGAATTTCGGGATGTCGGGATTTAAATTTTTTTAAATTCGGGACCTCGGGATTCCATGTTTTTCAGCCCGGGATTTCGGGATCAGGACACCCCCCCCCCCTTTTAATCTTGTGCGATAATTTTTATGAAAAATCGAGATTCTACTGAGAGATTGTGAAAAGTTTTTGTTTAAAGGCTGCCTTGTTTGAATGCATAAAAAATATGTCTTCAGTTTAAACTTGATAAATATATTGATATAAAAATATTCAAATTTGGACCACAGACTAACAACTTAACAATGAAATTAAGGAAATGAAAATAATTGTATTCCACGGCCTAGAATCAGTCATCTTCAATGATCTTCGCAAGGATTTACAAATCCTTGATCTTTGAATATCATAATTTTTATCTGGGACCTAAATAGGTCTCATTTTTAAAATATGAAGAGATAAATGCCCTCTAAATACAGTCATTGGCATGTTAGATTTGCGGGACAATGCAACTGAAAAATATTGCTACATGCATTGGCGTAGCTTACGTTGAGGCAACCGAGGCAGTTGCCTCGGTAAAAAAAAAAATAAAATAAAAAAAACTTTTCTTTTAAACAATTTTCACAGCAGCAGACTCGCTACTAAACGTTAAAGTACCGACTTGTATCGTCTTGTTACCGTTATTGTTTCATACCCTTTGCGAGTTCAAGACTTATGGAAACACTTTCCTCCTCTAATTGGAAATACCTATCCCTTTGCGATAGTTTTCAGTAATCTCAATATGTCGAAGTCAAAGACATCGACACAATTGAAGCTGGCGCATCCATATAATCCTACCCCAAGCAAAATCAGTAGAATAGATGATTACCCAACTCACAAGCCTTCTCCGATCGAATCACTTGACCATTCAGGTAAATTATTAATTTTTTGCAAGAATAAATTTTTAGTATATGAGGGTCTAGGTGAGGTTTACAGAATACAGAAAAATATCCTGATGATTGATTTAAACTTAAAAGAACAGATATTTGAATGGTGATAAATATGAAAGAAAGGAAAATCACATTATGGACAAAAAGAATTAAAAATAAATATTTGAGGACGCCCATACCAACCCTCATATATAATTGGTAACGTCTAAAATTGAAATTTCGTTGTGTGTTGACATTTCCCCCGACGTGTAATACCTCAGCTAGTACATTGAGTTTCATTAAACTTTGATACCAATTGAAATAAAAATTACTAATATTAATCAACATGCACAGAAAATAATTTGCTATGTTGTTCTAAAGTGTTATTCTCACCAAGGATTTTTATAGTATAGTGTCTTACTATACAAATCCTTGTTATCACTATTTAAAAATTTATAGTTTTTTCACTAGCAGGGAATTTTAAATGATTGAAGGAGTCATTAATTCCAGCGACATAAATAATATATATCAGTTTTATATAAAATTTTCAACCAAAGTCTTCAGAAAAAACGTAAATTTTTCCGTTAGTACTTCACCGATTGTGATTTTCACAATGGGAAACAGTTCAAAACCGTATAAGAATTTTGAAGACCATCTAAAAAATATCAGCACAAAACACAACCAATAAAAGTGCCGTGGTGCATATCACATGTAGCATGTGTTTATTTCCTAGTTAATCAAGAAATGCTGCAAGCGTGATGTCTGGTAATGTTTCTGGCATTAAAACCCGCTTACAGCAAATCCAATCAAGAGCATATATCTGCATTGCAAAGCGCACATTTTAAATCTTGTTGTTAAGTTCACTATTCTGTAAGTCAGTTGATATGGTTTCTTTTAGGATTCTCAGCTGTATTGTTGACTTGCTGTGTCATTACAATAAACCCTATTCATCCGAACATTGAACATGTTGTAGGTACCAGTAATCAACTCAAAAATCTGTAGTATAACTTAGTGTAAGGCATATTAACATTATTATCATGAAGTAAAATAAAACAACAGTTACTGCTTTTATTTTTGATAGATTCTTTTTTTCAAATTGCAAAACTTCAACAGCTTCTGGGTGGCTGCGCCCAACCAGACCCCCTGCCTCGGTTATAACAGAAGGCAAGCTACGCCACTGACATGTCCCTTTATCCATGTTATCTGTTGGTCCCAGATGATTCAACGTTCAATAACTCATTCATAATCTATTTATAGATATAAAATTCCCTTTTAGAGCCTTTTATTACGCATGCGCTGACGTCATTTCGTTGTGCATTTCCTCTTTAAACAGACGAGGTTAACATCAATCGTCAAGATGAACTTAATATGAGTGTAGAGCATTATTTTGCAGTAGGATTAGCCATTGTTATTGTAGGAGGATGGCTTTTCGATTGGCTTATGCACACAGTAGCTATAATATACGGGTAAGACCTTACATTTCAGACGGGGATATATCATGCCGGGTGCGACTCCGCCCTCTTATCCGCTTTTTAAATGTCATGTTTATACAAATACATGTAAACCAGTACTTTAGACAAGTTTTCAGTGATCATGATTGTCAACTCAAGCTAAATAAGTTTAATATTGAAACGTAATGGATACAGCATATTCATTGAAAGGAGGATATTCTGTCAGAATGGATCTTTAAAAAATACCCCCCCCCCTCCAACCAAACAAAAACCCACATACATGTAAGACTTTATTACATGATAACGTGGAAAGTAAACGAGTACAGATTGTAGATTTCGTGGAGTAGCAATTCTTTTCATCAAAGAATGCTGACTTATCACTTTTGAGATTCTTAGTCAGAAGTTGTCAAAAATTCTGACTGTCGTAATTTTTTATTCCAGCACACACTCCCACCCCAGACAAGTAAATATATATCATGTATATGTTCCAACTACTTAATAACTATTTTCTGTAATAGCACAACCAGTAGGCACAAGTAAAAAAAATTCTATGCCAAGTAGATTTTGTATAATACTAGTACTTGTCATGCTTGTCAAGGACAAGTAAAGAATTTAGATAGACAATATTTTATTGGCACAAACGCATTGCCATAAATGGTAATGACCAAATGGATAAACATGGTAGTAAAATGCAAACAATTATGTGAATATAAAAAACATGTATAATGAAAATCTATTGCAATAGACATGATAGATTACAAATGTACTTCTCGCATTAAAACAATTTGTTACGAAAGAGGAAGATAGTTTTAGTGCTGTGTAAGATTTATTATTGAGTATACACTTTATTTTATAATTATCGCACAAAGGAGTGTTACTTATTTTGGAAATTTTGAATTCAAAAGTCTCTCTACTCTCTAGATCTGATATTGGAGTACCATCTACAATGTAGTAGCATGTGCTGTTCATTTTCAATTTCACCACTTTTGCAGATTTCTTTTACTCCTGGGCACTTTTAAATATCAACCTCTTTTAATGGCAAGGTTATGAACACACTCTTAATTTACACAATGAGGATCGATCTGATTTATTTCTTAAAGCATCAACATAAGCTGCACATTTACTCATTTTGTAAACACTCTGGAAAAATGTTAATTTTGGAGATGCTGAAATATTTGAGACATATATATTGCCACACGCTGGCTGACAAGTATTGTAATTCAATTCTTGCCAAAAAATCAGTTGATTTGATGTTACAATTTACATACATAGGCATCAACAAAGTGTATAGACTTGCCAGTTGAAACTAATTATTAGACGACATCTTACATTCTATTTTATTGAAGAAGAAAAAATTGATTTGTCATCCCGTCTAAATTTTATATTTATAATTAATGATTGACATGTCAGTTAACTATCATTTCAAATTTAGTACCTTTATTCACATACATGTACCATGCACATAATGCATACTGACAGGCATGGTGTACATATGAAGGCTTTCTTGATTAAAGGTGTCTAAAACACTAAGTCATTAAGTTTGGGTTAGGTAATAGAATTATAGATACATCATGTACCACCTAAAATAATGATTTTTTTTTTCACATTGATTAGACATGTACATGTAAAAAGAATTGATGTTTTGATTATATTTAAAATTGATCAATTATCGAACATATTTAATCAGTTATAGTTATAAAAGATAAAAAAAGTCACTAAATGTGTTTTTTTTTATAGAAACCTTTAAAATTTTGATATCTCTTTGAAAATGTAAGGATTGCTCTCTCTCAAACTTTAATGAACTTCCATAAAAGAATTGGTAATTTCAATGGGGTCTTTTCTTTACACATGACACATACTGGTCCCTATGAATCAACGTGATCAAGTTCATCAAAAATGAGGAAACAAATTAAATGAATATTCCAAGGGTATTGTAATATTGAGGAAGTACTTTTCACTACTCTCCATTATCAACTTGATTTGATACTTCAATATTTGAAGTTTATAAACAGGACTTGTAAATTACCCTGACCTGTTTGATTGAATGATATGAACATGATAACTATTACATTTTGTCAGAACTTAAAACATACATGTATTTTACTAACTTTTTGAGATAGTGATAGAACTAAGGACAAAAAAAAATCAAAAGAGAAAAGTCTTATCCCTTTAACATATTTAACAAAAAGAGGAAAAAGTAAATTTTAGAACAAGACAGTCACAGATTGTTGTATATTTAGTCAATTGACAAAAGAAATGTATAATTTTATTTTAACTGTCATGACCATGATGACTGTATTGATACAGATCAATCATATAGATAATGATAAGATACAATGACGTAGATCCATCTGTTATGTCTATATAGATATTTTCCCACACAAGATTTAACAAAGTGATAACAAAATCTATTGGTCAAATTTACCTGTAAAAACCAGTTTTCTCCAGAGGGCCTTTCTCCTTAATTAATTAACTACAAAAAAAATGTACATGTATCATCATTATTTTATAGTTTCAACACCTTGTTAATTTAACAAGGTGTGGGAAACTATAAACATATTATTATATGTTTAACATGTGCAGTGTTCATTGTTGGTGTCAGATTATATTAAATGTGTAAATATAGAATTATGTTTTTTTTTATACCTACAGTACTATGCATGTTCATGATGTTGGTGATGTACATGTAAATTTTTCACCTTGTGTATGTCTTCATCATACACCTAACCCTACAATTACACGTTTAACACCTTTTATGACAGTAATGTAACAGACATTTCATTTACAAATGTATTTATCAGACTAGAAAGGAAACTTCAGACTGGCTGATAGTATCTTTTCAGCTTGTAACAATTGCCAAAGGGAACAAATCACAAAGTTCAAAGTTCATTTTTTGGCCACAAATATTTATAAATTGACCCAGGTTACCTTTCACTTTAGCAAATTGTAAATTTCAAATTAATTCATACATTCATAAACAAATGTTTTCCACAAGGACAAGACAACCTTTTCATCCCAACTTCATTTATGTCTAACTCTTAACTCTAAGCTTATTCCCTTGAAAGGAGACAGATTCAAATGGAAGTTGTTCCTAAATTTGATCACTTGGAGATCTATAACTATATGTATAAAAATAAGAACATGTGGAAAGATTACCAATGAGACAACTATCCACCAGTTGTAATGAAGTGGATGTAAGCAATCATATATATACATGTTATCGCTATTTTGTGCATTTTTCCTTTCAAATTGATTTTTTTTTTTTTTTTTGTGTGATAATTTTTCATATTTTTCTGGCTCGAGATAGAAAATTGATGCTAGAAATTGAGGGCACATGTGACATTGTCAATGTAAACATCAATGACGTCACAGGCAAAATAGCGATAAACAGATTATAGGCAACAGTACGGCCTTCAACGATGAGTAAAACCCATTCTGTAATGTCTGCTGTAAAAGTCCTGTTAAACCAGTTAAAAAGAGATGCCTGTACATGTACAGTATCTTATCATATAACAATAAGTAAAAGTGTAATAAAAAATTAACTGATACTTCCATTCTAAATGACTGTTTTGAATTTTACTTGCAAAATATCACAAAATAAGTTGTCACTGTTTACATGGTTAACCATGTTAACAGGTTATGCCAAAATATGTCTCTGTTCTTTTAAAATGAATTTGTCTGCCTGGTTTACCTACCCCTGAGTGAAATTTTCTAGATCAACATATCTACATTTGTGTACATGTATACTAAATTAAGAATAACTTCATGATCAGCTGCTGTTACTCAGTTTTTGATACACCAGTTTCTGATTTCTATAGGGTAAATTACATAATAAGCTGTTACAATAAGTTTTTTGGTCTGTGATAGTTACTATGGTCACAAATATAAATAGATTCCGACCTACATCATACATGTTTGTAGTAAATACATATTAATAACTTAACTTTTGAAAATAAGATAAAACTGTGGATGATTCAGTAAAAATATACCAGATCTAAATTTTCTTAAACATTTTAAAGAATAAATTTTCACTGATTCCTAAATTTTGGTTTCAGAATGAATGTTGCAACTAATAAATTTTTAAGGGGCTTCATGCCTGTTATTGTTTAGAAACATCACAATTTTTGTTTTCTTTACAAAAGCAAGAAATGACAGTTTTTCAGCCAAAGTTGAAAAAGAACCAGAAGAAGTCTATGTACATGTATGTTAATGTATTGAAAAATTTTGCTTAATAAATTGGGAGTTTGGGGGAGTCATTAATGTCCTTTAAAAAAATAAGTTTTTCATGATTTTAGTAATGTATTATCGTATGTATTTATAATACATGTAATACGTAAGAATTTAGTTCTGTGACGTGAATGGCACAAAAATGTATACCGTCATGACAAGGTTGGTCAATTGCACTCATAAATAGCAACAGTTAAACATCTTTATCGTGTTATTTGATATGCATGGTTTAGTAACATCATGAACGTGGTCAATGTCAATAGTTCGTAACCATCACAAACATTAAATAAAATTTGAATCAGTCTTAAAAATGTAATTGATTTGAGTATAACTTATCAACCTTTTTATCACTATATTGACTGTAGGCAGGTAACAATACTATCATAGAAATGTACCTGAATAATACATACGTATATTTTACTCGTAGGTGTTTTATCTCAACTGCATAGTTCAATAGCTTTACTATTCACTTTATAACACATATATATATATGTCAATTTAATTAACATGTAAATAAAATTAGTTAAGTGTAATTGAATTTTTAATCAATGATAGACTACATCAGCTGATGTAGGATTTTTTAAAATCTTATATACATTGTATATATATATATATCATGCTTATGAATTGAATGTGTTCATCATACATGTATATCTGCTAAAAGATGTTGTAATAAAATTTTTATTTCATATAATGAAGTTTTGTTAAATTTCAATATTTTTACAAATGCATGACTATAACACGGAATTTGAAATATGTATATATATATATAGACGGGAAAGGAAATATGGGTTCTAAAACAGCTCATAACCAAGCCAGTAATCTGTTTCACAGATGATGACGAATATGTTCCAATTGTCATAACTACAATCTCGTCCCCTTTCCCCCGAATGTGACCTACTGATAGACATATCACTGGGTTTGTACTTACATGAGCAACACGACGGGTGCCACATGTGGAGCAGGATCTGCTTATCCTTCTGGAGACCTGAGATCACCCCAGTTATTCACTTATTGGTGGGTTTCCTGTTGCTCAGTCTTTGGTTTTCTATCTTGTTTTGTGTACTGTTGTTTGTTTGTTTGTCTTTTTCTTTTTAGCCATGGCGTTGTCAGTTTATTTGTGAGTTTGAATGTCCCTTTGATATCCTTGGCCTCTCTCTTGTCAGTCCAATAAAATTTTCCACTTACAAGTGGCCAATTAAGCCATATAAATTTAGATTGAGTTGCGAGTTTGAACCCCACACATGGCATGGGAGGTGTGTTTAGCCTCAATCTTGAATTCAATGGACTAGGATTGTCCAGTTTTCCTGTCGTAGGTCGTACATGGATCTTTATTCCTTCACCTATAGAAAATAGCGGTCATGAAATAGTCAATTGTGCTGAAAGTTGTGATAAACACCAACAATCAATTAAAAAAATTGGTAGAATCTCATTAAAATCCATTTTCTTGAGCTTATTAAGAAAAAGGAAAGCAATTTTAATATACTGACAGATGTGTTAAACCACAAACTCAGACACATGATAAAGGCTGACATTAAATCATATTCCATACATTATACAGTACCAGGGTGCACGTGATCATTGAGCATTCAAGGACAAATTCAACATGAGTACATGCAATGACATGGGTTATTTCTAAATGTTTTGTAATTTTAATTCAATACATGAAGGACATGAAGGAAGTTTAAAAAAATATTTTAGAAAATTTTACAGTTCTATTTTATGAAATTGAATTGCAAATGATGAATGTACTGTGTCATTGTCTTTAAAGTGTTGACTTGAACTTTGATCCTTTGTGAAATACATATAATGGTCAGGGAAGAAGGAAGGGATAGCTAAGGGTCTGGATGGGGTTTACATAATAGAGCAAAATGGGCAAAAAGTGCAGAATAAACATGATAAAGGCGCCAAAAAATATATAATAGAAAAAGTAGACCCAAAAAATGCAGAATAGAGAATAAGTGGGTGCTTATAAAGAATAGAGAATAATGGGCACAAAATATAAAGAATAGAGAAAAATGATCTTAAAATTAAAGAATAAAGAAATGAAGGACCCCCATCAAGATCCTCATAGCTTTTGACATACATTTGTACATGTTAGATGTAGGAAGTTTAACAATGATAATACCAATTGCAAATAAAAGACAAAAGTACAATGTAGAAGTCCATATAATAAATAAAACTTTTCCTCAAATTATATTTAAGCCACATTAATGCAGAAGGTCATCTTAAAAAAAATAATCCTACAGTCACATCCAAATTTTTCTAAAACAGTTGTATACTGAAATCAAAATATCTTTTTTAGTATTAAAAAATCAGTGGGGAGAAAGAAGGAGGGGATGGGGGGTGATGATATTTGAGAATTTTTATTATTATTATATGAGTAATTGACTCTCCTAGAAACATAATAATGTTGCATCGGCTATCGGAAATTGAAAAAAGATACATGTGTATGCAGTAATTTTAAATAACTTTAAAAGTAAATTAACTTTGCAAATTTCAAAACAAGCAAGTGGAAATCTATTTCAACAAATAAATAAATGTTGGTTTAAACAATTTATCAAAAACTTAAAGAAAACGATGACTTAGTGAATTTAAAGAATTTTCACACAGTAGATAACATTTGCGTAAATCGTCTTTTATGTAAGATGGTATGGTACAGTAAATATGAATGATATTTTGTCATAGATATTTATTACAATTTTTTAAGAAGGTTATTGCTCTCAATATGCATCTATTTAACTTTAAACTGGGTGACCCAGCATGATTTTTTTCACGTTGTGTATGGAAGAATGAAATAATCATAAATAATAATAGATTTATCTTTCCATGGTATTTAAAATTTCCAATACATTAAATGATTCTTGTTTTGGTTTTACTTACGTCTCTAGGAACATAGATATGTGTTTTGATAAACATGAGTGGCCTTTATAGATATGTACTTTATACAAGGACTAGACACTTAAGTCATGATTTTAGTAAAACATGTATATCAAAATTCGTTAAATCAATTACTGGATAACTGGTATTTATCATCATTAATCTTTGAGTGTGTGAGTCCTGTAAATCGGGAATAAATTCAAAATGACAGTGTACATGCCTTATCGGAATTCTCCAAATCTTTTTTTTAAGCTTGGTGGTTTTTAGGACCACCACGACTACAAATCTGGTGGTCCTCTGTACATGTTTGCAGTTAAAATTTTTGCTATCAATTATTTCCGTAGGTAAAAGTTAAGATTAGGTTGACATTATATGGTTCCATACTAAAGGAGATGGTTCACTAACTCTTAATTTTGGCCCTAAATCTGAAATTTTTTAACTGCGATGATGATGTGAAAATTTTCTGAAAACATACGTAAAGATACTCAATTGTTTCAGTTAAAAAGTAAATTTAACCAATTGCGTCATAACTGATGTACTTGTGATGTCAAAAATATAGGTTGAATTTGTAAGTACCTGATATTTTGCACAATTTGGCAAATTTTATGACAGTTTTCTGAAAAATTAACAGTGGTGCCACCCCTTGCCACAAATGATTTTGCTAAAATATTTTGAATATACCATACTCTTTACTTTTGAATCAAATTTTCAATGGGCAAGGGTTGGTTCCACATATATAATCCTGAAATAAGGTCGAAAAAGATGACAAATTTCTGGAAAAATGGACTAAAATGAAATCTATTTTTTTCAAGCTATGATATTTATAATAAATGAAGCAGATATACAATTTTTATTGAAGGACCTGCCTGAATTTTGGTGGTAAGGACCAACATTACCTCCACTTTTAGAGAACACTGCCACATACAAAAGCAACATAATAGGGGAGGGGTAGTTGTCTTGTACCAACTACCGAAAATAGGGGGGGAGTAAGCCTATGCTGCATCTTTACCCGACCAAAAAATACACACAACCTTGCACTCACTTCTCAGTTTAATTTTAATAGGAAAATCAAATAATTGAATGATTTACAAAATATAATGCTATATCATTGTGTGTAAGACCGTTCACTTATATATCATAACTTCACGTTATTATTTTTATATTTTTTTCATCATTTTGCTTGCAATTTGTTCTTTTCTTCCTGTCTGCAATCATTGGCAATTGATACCAAATACAAAAAGACCCACATGTAGTTTAAATGTTCACTGTTAAAAAACTCATGGTCAAACCCAGTCAAAAATTATATATTTATAAGTTACTTGCACAGAATCAAAATATTACTATAGTGTCACTACTTTTGTACTGACATTTTTAGAAAAAGTTACAGGCCCACAGAAATCTTCTCTTGGCCAGTGCTGAGTCCCATCCTGCTTAGTGTTGTTTTTATCTTATTGATGAAGCAAATTTTGATCCTTTAAAATTATTTAAACACGAGGATACATCTTCTTGCATATGGGATGAGACTTGTTTTGTTATGGCGGAACAAACGATATTTTAATTCTGTATTTATCATCAATTTGACTTAATGCTTGAGAAGCAGGGACAGAAGATATTTTATTTTTTTTCATCCATTTAACTTCATGCATGAGGAGGGACAGAAGATATTTTATATTTTTCATCCATTTAACTTCATGCCTGAGAACATTGAGAAGAATCATCACTTTAAAATGATCATTATTGCTTTTAAACGATGAATTAATCATTGTTGTCACATATATAAGAAAGAAGAAGGTGTTTATAGTATTGGAAATATATACATGTAGATCCATAGAAATCAGTTTATAACATAATTTATGGTAAATTTATCATGATTTAATTCAAATATTGACATGTACATGTATACATTTGAATTGAACAAGTCGAAGGAGCTAAGAAAATATTGACATTGTACATATGTATGAAATATCTGTCTAAGGTTTCCCTATGGTACTCACATGTACTGACATGTACATATATATCCTAATTACAGTGCTGACCCCTGGTCATCTTATTTGGATTCTTTTATCATGTTTTTCTTTGTTATTATAAGTTTAGAGTGCTGTTTTGATTAGAAATATTCATTGATTCCTTGCCTCCAAACATATTTTGATATACATGTATCTTCGCAGAATAGATCTTAGAACATTGTTTCAAAACTAATTACATGTTACTAAACATGCTAAAGGCACAAAATAAACATGGTAAAGATAAAAAAATTACAGAGAATTTTTTATTTTTTCATCAGAAACTAAACTTTAAGTGGTACTAGTACTATTAATTATGAATATATGGGATTTATCAATCATTTCACTTGGCAAACCAAATATTTCTGTCAGAGTTTTACTGATTATATATATCTGTCAGTTGTACATGTTGTAAACATAGATTTGTGTTGATGAAACCATGGAAATACATGTAGGATGTAAATGATCAAAAATTCAAATTTGTTATAAATTATTCAAAAAGTATTGTGTTTCATTATGCTAATTAATGTTTATTTCATTAAATATTTTTATTTTCAGAATACGACGTTTACATCGACAACTCCCTACACCTTCCCCGGAAGACCTCCCGGGAGTATCTATCATAAAGCCTCTTGTTGGTGTTGACCCCCATCTGTATGCAAACTTAGAATCTTTCTTCAAATTACAATATCCTAATGTAAGTATATCATGTATATACAGATGTGGTGTTTACTGTTTATATATATATAATTAGGTTCTGGTGATACATGCATGTACTGATCATGTGGTGTTTACTGTTGAGGTGGTACAGGAGTACTTCAGTGTTCTCCTTGCACATTTGAAATACAATCCTGGTAAACAGGGAATTTTGTAATGCCATCTTGTTTCTAGAAATAATATAGCTTTACATCCATAAAATGCATAACACAATATAATAATAATATCACATTTGCATAATGCTTAAAAGGCCCTGTGGAGAACACTGGGTCACTCAAAGTATGAAAAAATTATAGATTTAATAAAAAATACATTTTGAAAATTGTTTTGTACTGTGTACATGTATTATATTGTTATTTCATAAATTTTGATGAAAGGTATTGACTGATTGTTAGTGAGACATTGAGAAAATTTACTTTGTTTTTTATATCCCTCGAAGCACAAAATTGATATTGACATGATATTGACATGTTGAGAAACTTGAAAAAATGCTGAACTTCAAATCTTACATGTCTTATATGTACATATTTATATACATGTATTGCATATTATATTTATGTCCTATCTAAAGCAATATTTAACCGAATTTATGAAATGTCCTTTTAAGTAAATAATTTTATCACATAAAAGGTAAATAATCGTAATAATGGCCGTGGTCTGACACATGTACTATCTATCAACTTATTGCATGACAGTTTAACTTTATGTAGTACTGTCTGACGATTGTTTATCGTATTTTCCCAATGTTTACATGAAGATAACATATTTTTCAAATCCATCATCATGAAAAACAGCTATCAATCTATATTTAGGTCACTGTTTGTGTACATGTATTTATATACAAATGCATTCATTATACATGAATAAATATAATATACATGTACATGTACTGGTATTTTAAATTAATTTGTTTACAGTTTTGTATATGGAAAGATAGTAGGGCCCATTATGTTGTTGAGTCTTTACCTCCTTTAGTCTATCTTGTTTCATGTTTGAATTTTGCTTTAAGGTATTTTTCTATGAAGCTTTGGTCACATCACCTTGAAACAAAATACACATGTTCATTATCAAGTCGTCAGTTCATACGCCAGCCAGATCAAACCAAGTCGTTGGTTCATACCCCAGCCTGAGCCAGGTCAAACCAAAGTCGTTGGTTCATATCCCAGCCAGGTCAAACCAAAGTCGTCGGTTCCTTCCCCAGCCAGGTCAAACCACAGGTCAAACAAAAGTCGTTTGTTCATACCCCAGCCAGGTCAAACCAAAGTCATTGGTTCATACCCCTAGCCAGGTCAAATCAAAGTTGTTGGTTCATACCCCAGCCAGGCCAAACCAAAGACTGTAAAATTTGTATTTGCTGCTTACCTCTAAGCACGCAGCATTTAGTATTAAGGGCAAAGACTGGTCGGCTCGGGGTCAGAATAATGTGTCTGAGTAGGGTGACATGTCTTCTTGTGGACTGTTACCTTGTGAACTAGTACATTAAAAATCCCACTTAGGGTGTAGGTCTAGTACACAACAAAGCAGGGTTCATATTAACATACCAATAATATGTTCTCATCCTGAATATGCATTTAATTTGCCACTGGATGTTAAACATCCATCATTATCATGAGAAATGTGGCCTCTAATCACCACCAATCATTTTTACTTCACAGTCATTCACTTATAATTAACGTAAGAGGGACATTCCTATTGGGAAAGGTATCAACTAAGAGTTGACTCCCCTTAATCATTTGACAAGGTACACTACCATGACTACAGGGTAGTTACAATGTATCTGCAGAAGAAAATAAATGTTATAAAAAGTTTAGTTTTTATATTTTTTCTTTTCAGTTTGAAATTTTATTTTGTGTTCAAGATGAAAGTGACCCTGCCATAATGATTGTTCAGAAATTGATGGAACTTTATCCTAAAGTAGACGCTAAATTATTTATAGGTAATTATACATAGTTTTTATAAAGCTGAAATCGAACTTGTTAGTTGCTTTTAGGCTTCAGCAATCATGGTTGTTAAGAATGGTAAATGTTTGAATTTGGTATCTATGGTTTGTTTATAACATTATATGCAAGCCGGGGCATCATCTGTGTACCATGGACACATTCTCCATTTATTCTATTATGATGTGAACTTATTATTTATTTACATTCCGAATAAGGGTTTTGAAAACTCTTGACCCTAATTTCACATTTTATAGAACATACAAATTTAATATGAATAGGGCATGGTGTCCTATGAACCCAGATTCTTGTTGTTTTTTACACAAGTTGAATGAGAAATAGTCGTGTGAATCTTATTATGATGTATTTCCCATTTGGTAATAGTGGTAAACATTTTAATTAAAGTTTAAAAGCTCAATATCATGAATATTTGACTGAGACATAAAACAGTTATATAGGAATTGAATTACATACATGAAGAGTAACTCTTTGTTCGATTGCTTTTGGTGAACCTGCGACATTTTTGTCGCGAAAGTGAGACATAGCCATCCTAGATACTGTCATAGGCGGTGGCGTCAACATTTAGGTTTAGTCTGTGGTTATAGTTTTTTTCGACATCAATAACTTTGTCAAACCTTCATGGAATTTTAGGAAATTTGGACAGAAGCTTGTTTATGACCAAAATACAGTATCCAGAGCAAAACTTGGAAATATTTATTTTCATTTTTACTGTATTTTGCTGCTAAATGGACTTAACTTTTTTTACAGTTAACATTCAGATTTAATCTGAGGTTAAAGTTTTTCAGTCATCAATAACTTTGTCAAACCTTTATGAAATTTTTGACAAAAGCTTTTTTATGACCAAAAGACAGTGTCCAGAGCAAAATTTTGAAAATAAATGATAAATGGACTTAGTTTACCTTTAACAAATAGATACAGTCTGGGGTTAAAGTTTGTTACACATCAATTTCTTTATCAAACTTTTTTAACTTTGCAATATTCCCAATTCTGTACTGCTGGATTTGCTTAGAGTAAGAATTGCTCATAGATAGAATTCAAACAATGCAAACCATTTATTCACAGTACTACTAAGATAACTTTGAAAACAATTATTTAACAGCAAAAACACATGAGAAATAGTGGAGATACAACACTATGAAAATATTTTTCTCGGAACAAACTTGATAAATCAGCCATTATAATCCAATGGGAGTGTGGAGATAAAACAATGTAGCTCTGACAAAAACTGGTAGAGTGTAGATATCTTGTATTATAGTTGTATAAGGAGCTAGACTATTGATCTTGGATCTCAAATATATAGCTATCTCCATTTTTATCAAAAGTGGACATGTAGCACTATAAGATTCACACGACGAAATGTATATGAAATATGAATTAAATAACAATCACTTTCTAGAAGTCAGAGAAATATATTTAACTCAATCAGTTAAAGTTGTTTGTAATGCCAGTACAATGTACAAATGATGTACATGTATACAAAAAATCACATAGAACAGTTATACTTATTTACACAAAAATTATATACTTAAAAATCTTTGCTTGTATAGTGCTCTGTGACAATGGTGCAATGTTGTGTCTCTAAAATTATCTAGCCAGGTGCAGATCCAGGTTTTTGGAAAAGGGGGACCCCCTGACAAGCCAGTGTTTAGAGTGATACTTGTAAAAAGTCTATGCATTTATCCCCCAATGTTTAGAGTGATACTTGTAAAAAGTCAATGCATTTATCATGTTATGAAGCCCCATAAGGAGGGCATCTCTGCTAGCATGTATATAGATACATGATCACTGAGGAGAATGGAATCAACAACTGCATGATATGTACATAGGTAAATTATGTCTTGTACTCTTATTATTCTTGTGATATATTATATGCTTACTGTTTTATTTATCAACCCCCCATTGGGTTATAACTGCAACTATTTGAATAGATATATTTATCCCAGAGAAGTCAGTATTTCTGCTTCTTAGGCCACCCTTAAGAAATTCTTTATTTGATGTGGCCTTCCCATGCCTTGTAGGGTTGGATACATGTAGATAAGTAGGGATTTTTTTTTGAAAAGATTTGCATCATAAAATTTTTAGGGTAGGCTGCTTTTTAAGGTGGGGTGGTAGCTAGGCAACATCAAACAATTTAAATTTTATTTTTGGCCTTAAATTTCAACGGGATTGGATCCTTTTTTAATAGATCTTTTAAGTTTAGGTTTACAAGATTGCTTTGTATTTTTATTTTATGTTTTGAAATATATCTTTTTATAATTAGCTTGTATCACTAGTTTTCAGTTAGCTTACATGTATCTTGTTCTAATAAGATGGTTTGTCACAATTATCATTAGTTTTTTTATGTTCCCGCCAATGCTTGGCTAAGTCATTTAGTGTTGTCAAGTTGTTGGAACTTTTTTTGATTATAATACAAAAATGTTGTTTGCTGTATGTATACATGCACATATCTTTGGTTTTTTTTTGTACATGTTACATAAGAAATGTATATATACATGTATATCATGTACATGTATATACATGTGTATGTGTGAAATGATGAGCTATAGGTTGAGTTTTGTTCTGGGTGACTAACTTTTCACAGAAATTCTTCAAGATGTCAATCCTATTGATATTTACACTTAGGGACACAGGTTTAAATTGGAATACCTATAAATAAATTTGATCTTAAGAAAAAAATTTGGCATACATTGTAAATGCAATTATAATAAACATGTAAACGCTGAAAGAAAAATTATGCATCCATTTAAAAAGAATTTATAATCTAGTGGGCACTGTCATGACTGTACAGAAAAACATGTAGAATGTCACATTAAAAATGGTATTTGTTGAAATTTTTGACAGGATAATATTATTCCAGTAAACATGGTAAGCTTCTGATGTTAACACAGATTGTGTTCTTCTTTTCAGGTGCTTTTTCTGGTGAAAACTTACACATTCTGTTTGTAGTTTTTTTCTTTGCACAATATAACATTTTTCACTTTTCATTAGGAGTTTTAGGAGGGGTAGAAGGACATTTTTAGGTCCTTTGGGATTTGCCCTTTCATTTTGCGGGAAGTTGGGATAGGGCCTTTATTTTCATGGGAATTCGGGATTTACACTTTTCGAAACTCAGGAATTAATGATCAATTTTTCTGGGTCCTGAAAAAAACGTTATATATTTTCGGAAATTTTGGATGACACCCACTCCTACCACCCCTCTTTGAGCAGTGGAATAAATGTAGAACCTCTTTGAGCAGTGGAATAAATATAGAACATTTTGCAGTGAAGAAAATTGTTGCACTTTTAGATAAACTTAACATCACTCAGATTCTATTCTTTATATCATAGAATTGTAATTAAAATCTTAAATGCTTTATTCAGTTATTGTGTTGTAACATGTATCTTGTGTTGTAAATATTCATTAGTGTATGTGCTGATATCATTGGTTTTCAAGATACCGGTAGCCTTGAAAACCAAATCTGGAGAATAAAGAATTATGTTAAAAAATTATTGATATTGAAAGGAATAAATTTAAAACTTGGAGAATTTTACCATTATTGTCCGCAATCAGGTATGCGAAAATTTTAGTGAAAAAAAATTTCAGTGAGTTTTGGGCTGACAGCATTTAATTTTTGCCCTGTAGTATAATTTGGTACATTTAGTCCTTGTGAGGTAAGAATCGAATAGATTGATTGATTGATTGATTGATTGATGTTTATAAAGTCACTTTAGCACTATTGATCTATTTCGTGGTGGTCAGTTTTTATTGGTTGAGAAAATTGTAGTGCCCCCAGAGAACAACCACCCTTCAGTAAGAAAACTGACAATACTAGTACTAGTCAATTAAGATTGGAGTCGAAAGCACCAACCTTGATGGGATTGGAACTCACAACCTCAGAATTGACAGGCTGGTGAAACAGGGGTTCTGACTACTTAGACCACTCGGCCCCCGGAATGGAATAATTGACAATATAAGATATAATGATCATTGTTACCTCTCTTCTGAAGTTCTGTTCGATATTATTCTTACAAAAATACATGTACATTTTACTTATAATCATAGTATGGAAATTGTATATATAACTAAGTAGATTTGTGACTGTGTTTTTACTAATACAAATACTTGACATATATATTTGTTTTTTCTATTTCTGTGTGTGCATACATAGATATAATACTTGCCTATTAATCCATGCTGCCAATATGTGTTGTCTAATTATACAGTTGACACTGAACTTGTTTTATGTTCAGAAACACATCATATGAAAATAAATAATCTGTTTCTGAAATCAGATCCAGTATAGTGTTTCCATTTGCCTATATACATGATATATATCAGGTTAGTTGCCATTTGTCAAAGTTGTTTTAGCAGCATTTAGCTAGTGGTTGTACAAAAAGAACATTTCTATCAAGAACAATACTGGTAAAAATATAATTTTCCCAATTTTTAGGGAAAAATGTTAGAGTGAGCTCTCTATAAAAATTAGGGTATTTCAGAGTACAGTAAACACATATTTTTTTTCAAGGCCTAATTTAGAAAGATATTTGTGTTGTACTACACATAGCATGTTAGTGCTTTTATCATATGGCGACGGAAGCTTTATCAATTGGTCTTCATTAGTCTCTTATACTCATTCTAAACATTTTTGTTTATTTCAGGAATAAAGTATATTTGTCCAAATGGAAAAATAAATAACATGATCAAAGCATATGAAGCAGCCAAGAATGAAAATCTATTGATCTCAGACAGTTGTATTAAAAGTAAGTTTATCTGATGATTGGTATACTGCATACCTGCCTAACTTTTCAAAATCCCATGGGGGATTTTAAGCACAAGAGGACGTAGTGCATACCTATACATGTCATTAATATATTTAATTAGAACATCTGTGGTTTTGAATGAGTATACATGTTCTGTAATGTATTTTTAACTCCTCAAAATTCCTTTTTAAAAGTATTTAGTCTAAATAATTGAGTTTTATAAGGGTCAGGTCAACACCTCTCATGGGAGATATCCCCCACAAAGTAGGAAACTTAGCAGGTCTGGTACTGAGTTGGAACATACACTTAAGATACATTAAAATTATACTTGAATTTATGTCAAATCAGATATTGTTAATTATACTCAATCTGTAAGTTAAAGCTGCATACAATTAACTTCAATATTTTTTCCATTCTTGCAGTGTTTAAATTTATGCTTTAATTCGTGCAACTTCACATTGGTATTGTTTAATTTGTATTAAAGTATTTAGCAGGGGATAATTTTGTGAAATAAATGAAAATAAAGCCAAGGTAAAAATGTCCTCATTTACAGTTCTTACAATGCTGTGGATTCATTGATTTTTGTGGATTGAGGAAAAATTGTATTTTTCGTGGATACTTGATATCGTGGTTTTGACAAAATCTTCATACAAGTATAACATGTATAAGGATAATTTGTACCTCGTTGAACATTTAAATTCACGGTTGACCTATGTCCATAAAATCCACAAAAAATGATATCTTACGAATAATAATGAATCCACAGTATGCTGTAAATAAATCACTTTTGCCGGTGGTTTTATTGATAAACTAACGTAGGTTTAAAATGATAAAAGAATTTTACTCTTTTTGTAATTCCAGGGCCAAATAATGGCTCATACAATACCTCCTCTGATCTAAACACTCTACATGTAACTTTTCTTCTTACATGCCAAAATGATATGATATAGGGTTATTGTTTGAATATTTGTGAATATTGCCCATACATTTTGTAGTCGATTTTATTATTATACCCCACGCAACGAGTTGCGGAGGGTATAATGTTTTTGACCCTCAGTCCGTCATTCCTGTTTCTTGTCATCGCAACTCCTCTCAAACCACGCAACAGAATTTCACGAAACCTTTTTAGATAAAAAGGACATATTATGTAGTTGTGCATATCGACAGGAAATTACGATTCAATTTTTATTTCTAGGAGTTACGCCCCTTTGAACTTATTTGCTTCAATGTACTACTGCAACAGTTTGTCATCGCAACTCCTCTGAAACCACACAACAGAATTTCATGAAACCTTTTTAGATAATAAGGACATACTATGTAGATGTGCATGTAGACAGGAAATTACGATTCAATTTTTATTTCTAGGAGTTGCGCCCCTTTGAACTTATTTACTTTAATGTACTACTGCAACAGTTTGTCATCGCAACTCCTCTGAAACTACACAACAGAATTTCATGAAACCTTTTAAGATAATAAGGACATACTATGTAGATGTGCATGTCGACAGGAAATTACGATTCAATTTTTTTTCTAGGAGTTACACCCCTTTGAACTTATTTGCTTTAAGGTACAACTTCAACAGTTTGTCATCTCAACTCCTCTGAAACCACACAGCAGAATTTCATGAAACTTTGTAGATAATAAGAACATACTACGTAGATGTGCATATCGACAGGAAATTACGATTCATTTTTTTTCTAGGAGTTACGCCCCTTTGAACTTATTTGCTTCAATGTACTTCTGCAACAGTTTGTCATCTCCACTCTTCTGAAACCACACAACAGAATTTCATGAAATTTTGTAGATAAGAAGGACATACTATGTAGATGTGCATATTGACAGGAAATTATTATTCAATATTTTTTCTTATACAATATTTTTTTGTTACACTTATTTAATTTCTCCAATGACAATGTGGGGACGTGGGGTATGTGAGCGTGCTCACTAAGGTTCTTTAATTGCACAAGCTTTTAGGTTGCACTTTGTAAATACAGCTGTTTCACTAACCAAGCCTCTTTTGGGGAGATATATAATACTCAAAGAAATTTTGTTTCGTTTACCTACTGGTTCCCGGATATGATCTCTATGTTTCATCTCGTAGAGACATAACTTGGGAATGTTACCAGTATAAATACACAGTAATAGCGGGTAAATTGAATTCTGAGGAAGACCCAAAGTGAAGGGAGCATGGGGAAGGGTAGTTCAAAATTTTAGTATAAGTTTAAACTCTTAGAAGTTTGAGGCATATAAATGTTGAAAATATGCTGCACAGCCCTATATTTTGACCTTTGAAAAAAATAGTAGTGCATATGAACTTCCATTCTAGGATATAATTTTTTACAAAACTTCATAGTAAAAGTGGCACAGTTTTAGCCATAAAAGGAGTTCCTATGGGAAATTGCATTGTCTATATTTTACAGAAGTGCAACCTTTAGTGCAATGCATATTCTCCAATATCCATGCAATAACCCTTTTATTGTATAATGCAAAGCTTGAACAACTAATTAAAACACATTTTTGTGCACCAAATTGAAGCTTTCTTGACACTAGTGCAATATAATATATTAGTGCACACTATCTTTTGGTTACCAGGTTACGATCTGTATGAAATATTTCGTTGCTATAATTATAAAAACCAATATTGCATGTTAAGTATGTAGGAACCATCAGTATCATGAATTATTTGTTTTTTCAGTGAACGAAAATACTTTAATGGAAATGGTTTCCTGTATGAAACCAGATGTTGGAATGGTGGTGCAGATGCCGTTCTTTGAAAATCGTCCAAAACTTGGATTTGCCAGTGTTTATGAAAAGGTTTGTAATGTTAATAGTAAATACAATAGAACATGTAGAAATATATATTTTCAAATTCTTAATCATCAGCTTGTTTAAAATTGTAAATCATGTTTTTTTTTGATTTATGGAAATCCTTATGTCATTAAAAAAATCAATACATGTATGCGAGACTTAGTTTAGATTTACTTGACAATTCTCTGTATGTTCTCAACACATGCAAAAATTCAGATTGAGAAGCATATATAACTTTAAATCCTGTAACTGCATCAGAGTTAGACTATTATAAAAATAAGTTTGTAGTTTTGTTTTCAAGTTTTTATATTTATATGAAAATAAGAGCTGTGGTATGACTGCCAATGAGCAACACTCCACTAGAGACCAACTGACGTAGAAGAAAGCATTTATAGGTCACCATCAAGCCTTCAACAAGAGCAAAACCCATACTGCATAGTAAGATATAAAAGGTCCAGAAATGACAATTGTAAAACAATTCAAACCAGAAGACTATTAGTATATTTATACATATATATGAAATAACTTTTTCAAAACTGGTACTTTTACCCTTCTGAAAGGAAGAATAGTTCATATTAAGTCATTCTAATAGAACTTTACATTGTGGTAAACAGTATCACCTTAAGTAGCTAGGGTACCAGATCACTTGAATGGTTTTGAAATACATGCAATTGACCTTTGCAAACCAGTCTTAGATAGATTAAAGTTCATCAATTTGATATTCTGCAGGGTGACAACATTTGCAGAAACCTGTTCTCTGATATGCTAAATGATGCTGGATATGAGGTTTTTGATGCAGATTTTTTAAACTGTCTTACAATACAATATTTAAAAGTGAATCTAATTCAGATTATTGATTTTTTATGCCCAACTTTGGGGCATTATGTTTTTTGGTCTGTGCGTCCGTTCGTTCTTTCGTCCGTCTGTCCCGCTTCAGGTTAAAGTTTTGGTTAAAGTTTTTGGTCATGGTAGTTTTTGAAGTTGAAGTCCAATCAACTTGAAACTTAGTACACATGTTCCCTATGATATGATATTTCTAATTTTAATGCCAAATTAGAGTTTTGACCCCAATTTCACGGTCCACTGAACATAGAAAATGATAGTGCCTGCTTCAGGTTAAAGTTTTTGGTCAAGGTAGTTTTTGATGAAGTTGAAGTCCAATCAACTTGAACTTTAGTACACATGTTTCCTATGATATGATCTTTCCAATTTTAATGCCAAATTTGAGTTTTTAGCCTAATTTCATGGTCCACTGAACATAGAAAATGATAGTGCGAGTGGGGCATCCTGTACTATGGACACATTCTTGTTATCCATTGTTATTAACCATCAGGTTTATATTTTCAGGTTTACTTTGCGACTTTCAATGCCAGAAGTACACTGGGTGGTTTTGCTACAGGGATAAACGCCTGCACTGGAATGTCATGTTTATTTCGTAGAGAACCTGTTGACAAAGCTGGTGGGTTAGCTCCCTTGGGACAATATCTCTCTGAAGATTATGTTCTTAATCGCACTATTACACAAGCGTAAGTAGTTAAAAGAGTCACAGATAGCTTTATTACTGTGGATTCATTTATATTTGTGGATGCCAGTTGACGTGGATTGAGAAAAACTTTCATTTTCACGGATATTTGATTTCGTGGTTTTACCAAAGTCTGCATACAAGCATATAAACTTGTGGTTCACCTATACCCACAAAAACTGGTATCCACTGAATGATAATGAATTCACAATAGTTGTAAAACTGTAGCATATTTCGATTATAAGTAGTGGCATAAAATGAAATGGTAAGAGAACAAAGGTAAATGGGTCATGGGTTATGTGCCATTAATGGTTATATGTTTGTTCAATTTATGCAAATTGCTTAAAGAAAGTAAATTGTTTGTGGGGTGAATTGAGAAGCTTCTTCTATCAAATTTAAGGTGGTACCAAACACCTTGACTAAAATTAATTTGGCTCGTTTAATTTTTATAAAATGTTGACAAAATATTTACTTTGACCCTTTGACAAATATATAAAAATTAAAAAAAACTTGAACCACACACTTCATTGGAAAAATTTCATTGGATATATAGCAGTTTGACAAACACTAATTTTGATCATTGAGAAGCTTAATTTTTCCTTAACAATAGAATGTGATTAAAACGTTCAGCTGATTTTTACAGAGTTATCTCACTGTAGTGTTATGTACCACCTTAATTGGAAAGCTCTTATCAATTCTTTGTGTTAACAATTATTAATGCATGATCATGAGTTGTTCATGGTCATAACAAGTTGTTCATGGTCATAACAAGTTGTTCATATTCATAACAAGTGTAAGTTTATGTTGTTGTTGTTGTTGACATTTACATCTGTGACATTTATTGACAACTGACAATTGATCAATGAAATAATAGGTGTTTTTTGTGAAGCTCAATTTGTTATAAAAAATATGCAATTGAAAAAAAAAATTAATATAATTAATGTAGAGGAAACAGCTTGTTCCTTTAATGTATCATTAATAAATAGGTAATATATTACCATCTATCATGAAGGTCTGGATGGGAGGTCCTTCATTCCTTTATTCATTAATTTTTTAGACTATTTTTTCCTCTTTTTTTTTATTTTGTCCATTATTTTCTATTCTTTATGATTTAACACCCCATCCTCTATATTGTATTTTTTTTTTGCTGGTTATTCTGCACTTGTTGCCCATTATTCTCTATTCTGTAATCCCAATTCCAGACCCTCTATCATGTCAATACAGATAGATTATATCTGTAGGTGGCTGAGAAACAGGTTGTAATTCAAGGCTTTTTCAGCTTTTCTACCTGTGGAGTAAATTTGATGACATAACTTTATTTATAAGATAAAATGCGTAGGAAAAAGAGAAAAGAAAAGTTTTTATAACCAACACACTTTATAAATATACATATTTACTGTAAATTCAGAAACTTTTGCAAGATTTTTTATTATTATGAAAAATGCAGTGGTAAGGTTCTCACAAAAATATAAACTAACATTTTACATTTGACAGCTTTATTTTTTGCTTGCAGCAGTTCCTGAAACTGATGTATTTGTCCATTATTTATTCTGAATTTACAGTATGTAGAAAAAACACTCAAATCAGATATTAAATGTCGAACAGGTTTTACTGCTATGGCGTAGCAATCTTGTTTATTATTATTTTTTTGGGTGGGGTTGGGTAACCTTGTTAAGAAATGTTATTTGTTATATTTATGACTTATTTATGTTACCTGTCTTTTCTCTGCATATATATGTGTAGAATTCCTTAGTTAATAAACAACCTACGATTATATTTTGTAGTGGTTACAAATCAGTACTGTGTACATCAACAGCTCAACAAAATAGTGGCTATTCATCAGTTGGCACCTTCCATAAAAGGATAATCAGGTTTGTTTACGTCTCATTATATATATACTGAGTTAAAAAAAGTTTAGCAACACATATTTTGACCAGTTAAATAACAATTATAGAGCCCAAACTATTCAGTGATTAACTGATTTTGGTTAGAAATTGAAGAAACTTGATTTATTAAAAACTGGTCAGATGCATAATAAAACTGGTACACCATTATCTTGAATACTGCAGGGAAACAGTTTAAACTTAATGAATATGCATTTGTGAAGAGCATGCTGTTGAAGAAACATACCTAAAAGTATTATGAATGTAAAGGAGTAGGCTTTACAATTTCTTTAGATTTCCTGTAACTAATATATAGTTTACTCTAATGTTATATACAAGCTTAAACCACTCCTTAATTATATGTTCACACAGTCAGTAAGAAAGATTTAAATTTTTCTGTTTTGTTTATTCCAGGTGGTCTCAATTAAGGATTGCTCTCTTGCCACATCTGATTATTTTAGAGCCGTTATCAGAATGTATGCTGATGGGTGCTTGTGCCTCGTGGGCTATTGAGTACTTATTTGGAATTAGTTCGATGGGCGTGTTTTTAATGCATATTTTATTATGGTTCTTGTTAGATTATACACTGTTGAGAATAGTAGAGGTATGTATTATAACCACGGGGGTTGGGGCTTGGGGAGGGGGGGAGATAACTTCCTTTTATTGGGTATATGGTGATGGGTCATAATTTTGTGAGATTTTATATAAAAATTACCCTCCTTTTTAATGACATCCTATATTAAAATGCATTTACATTTGATAACTGTATATTGATTTGGGGTAAGATCTACATATCATATATAAATATGCTATTAAGAATCTTACATTACAAATGGTCAATTATTCTGTATTCAATTATCTGCATAGTGATATATTAAGTTTCAATATTTATAAATTAAAAAAAAAAAAGAACCAACAAAGCTTCATTAAATATTTGACAGAAAAAATATTTCCTCCATGCTCATTAACACAAGCAAACAAAAATAATCAACAACATAACAAATAAAACAAACATTATTAGCAAGAACTTGTGTCGTCCTGCTTGCACAATATTTCTGTTAAATTAACATTGAAATTGTGGTCAAAACTCTAAATTGCCATACAATTTCAAAAGTCCACATCATTATGAATATGTGTATACCAAGTTTGAAGATGATTTAACCACCACTAAATGGTATACTACCTTTATGATGGATGATGGACAGAGAGACAGACAGACAGACGTACATACTCAAAAACACAAGGACCACCTACTAGTAAAGGTGGGCAACAAGGCACAAAAGAAAAACAAAATAACAAAGATTACAAACATTTTGTAAGGCTATTCTGAATTAATGAAGTATATGTTTACAACATAAGATTGTATTATAAACATAGACGTCTCAAAGAATTTCAACATGTATGACTGTATAGATAAGGAAAATATACAAATAGATTTAATAGATTCTTTTCTACTTTTTCAGAATGGACCTTTACCGTTTTCAAAATTTGAATTTGTGGTAGCTTGGCTGATGAGAGAGACATTAGCTCTATTTCTGACATTACAATCTCATAGAAACACTATTGTCAAGTGGCGACATAAAAAATATAAACTGAACTGGGGAGGAAAGATCGAGGAAGTATAACCCTATTTACCATTATAGTCGGGTCATCACATGTCCTATGGGGGTCATCCTGTCATCAAAGTTCATTCATGAGGTCATCAAATCAGCACTAAAGAAAAGGAACATATCATAGTGCTAGAAATCGTCTTTTTTACATTTAGTGCATTCAGTCCTACGCTCGAGTCAGTTGTGCGCTTGATATAATTGGGTACTTCAGTGTAGCATGATCACCGAGGTGACAGTGATCGAGAACATGAAATAATATGATGAATTGTAGAGCAAGGAATTGCTCCTCTACATAATTAGTGATGCATGTTTGAAGTAGCCTATTGACAAGTGAATTACTTTAAATTCCTTAAGATTCATGAAGATGAATATTGCTATAGTGTGTGTTTGTTTATGATGTACCAAATTGATAACAAGTTCTTTCTTTTTTTTGGCAAATAAACAGTTCGTAAGAGTTAAGATGACTTTTTACTTTTAATTTTTTCTGGAAAGCATATTTTAAAATCTATATAGCAAATTTAAAATATGATCTTCCTTGTTTTATTACAAACAAATTATAAGAGTAAGCTGCCAGTTTTTTATTGAAACTTTTTAAAAGAAGAAAATATTTGGTTGAATTAAACTACCTCCTCGAATAAGGAAAAGGCACAAACATAAATTTCATATGATGTACAATTATATTAAATGGGAAATAATGTTTTCATTTATTCGTGCCGAAATTCTAAGAATGGGAAATTAGTTTGGTACAGCTTAACACGTTGTTGGTTTTGGTTTAACAGTATTGTGTGCTAGCTAGTATACAAGGTGCTCTATGTTGTCACAGCGTAAATTTTTTTTGTACTTCTTTTACTGCCAAATTATTTCCGTCATTGAATTTTTTATAGTAGATTATCTGTCAGATTTATAAATTGTAGATCATTTTTGTAAAATTGAATTAAATAAAAAAAATATGTGTGTGTTTACAGTTCACCAACTGACCCTAACTTTTTAGAACTTAAAGTAACTTTTTTCTTCACTGAAAATTGGGCAAATAATATTTTCACCTGTATTCTTGACAGCAAAGTTTTTTTGTGTTCAAATTTATGCTGAAATTGTCAACAAGTATTGTGTAAACAAGTAAAAACATATCTGACAGACAAAGACAACTTTTTACAAATGGATGCTAATTGGAAATATAGGTAAATTCAACAGATTTCATATGGGTTCCAGATTCAGGAACCAGATAAGGCTGTTTTTGAGTTTGCTGATCAAATAACAAAAACATTTTGCTGACCTACTGACCCTATTTTTTTCAGCATGTGACAGTAAACATACATAAATTTTTTTAGGCCTTACTGCCAGAAATTTATTGCACTCTAGTCAAAAATCAACCGGTTTTATTTGTATAATACATTCTATCTTGTCAACATTTAAACAATTTAATAGACAATAATTGTATTCATGCATTGTTTCCTATTTTAATACATTAAGTGCTGTTCCAGATTAAGACTTCAACCACCCATAATATAAATTTTTCATTTTACTTATATTCTTATAATCTAGCAAAGTTAAAAAAAAAAAAATGCAGCCAATCACACACAGTTTATAAATTTGAGTGCCTCCCATCCACTCCCTCTGTGTATAAATCTGGAACAGACCTAATACAAATTTTCAAAGTTTACAATTTGATCAGATTATGTAACTTTTTTAACAATGCAAATTTTATTCAGTAAAAACATTTTACAGGGTAAAATGCTCATCTTTTTAGCTACTTTCTGCAAATAAAAAAGGGTACAAAAATATTTTTATCATGAAGGTCACTTGTTTATCTGTGTTTTTCTCTAAATAACACCATGACCATTTTACCTTTTGATGTGTTCTGTTGTATATTTTTTATCTAGTTTAATTTAATAACTGTAAAAAGCAGTAGCAAATACTACGCAAAGAAAGAAATGATTTACAATTTTTACAATTCAGTGCCATTATTCTGAAAAAGATGAACGCAATAGTTTTATGTAAATTGAGAAGTTTTCAGAGGTATTTAATTTTGCCGTGAGATTGTAGAAAGTTGCACAAAACTCTAGAAAGCCATGAGTTAAATTAAGATGCAACTTTCTCAATTTACATTTGTTTTCTTGCCAATAGAAGTTTTACAATAGAATATATTTAAAGGGATATATATGTTATAGTCTGTTAAGGATATGTTATGGAAGATATTTGTATTGGATTATTGTATGGTGTCAAGTCAAGTTCATTATCAAGTGTCAAAGTGCATTAGATGCATAATATTATTATACCTTCTGTTGTAAAAGCGGGAAGTATATAGTGATGGGACCTCTGTCTGTTCATTCCTTCAATCATCCTTCTGCCTACTTTTGTTTCTGCAACTGCTCCTGAACAGCTTGACAGAATTTTGTGAAACTTTCAAAGAATCCTAGTGAGATGATGTACTTATACAATTCCTAATTTATTTTTAATCTGATTAATTTTGGCACTTACTTTTGGATTACATGAACATGGTGTAATCCTATCTTTACACTATATTACAACCGCTTCTCCTAAACTCCTTGTTCAAATTTTTCAGCATCTTTACCATACAATGCCATAATGCACCCCTTATTTTGATTTTTTGTCCAAATTGTTTTTGAGATATCCAGTAGCAAATTATGAACTTTGCAAAGAATAGTGGTATCGTTTAGTGAGTTTTTCTCTGATGCTGGTTCCTTGTTGCATCTTGGAGTAACTGTTTATTAGACAAATTATGGGCTTACGTAAATCTTTGGAGGATATTTGGCTATATTTTATTTTTTAAAAGAGTTGCTTATTATTTTCCTGTTAAAGCTTATTTAGAGAATATTCACAAAGCATTGCTTACAAAAGTTAGAAAATGTGTTTGTGTTATAACTGCTCTCATGTTTCATTTAGTATAATAGCATGGTCTAAAAACCTGCATTTTTCAGCATGATTGTGACAATATGATACTTGTGAACTTGACTTGAAATTTTTATTACTTTCTTTATTGGATATTATGAATTTTTCTGTGAATTTGATTGGATTTTATGACTTTCTGAGCTAGGGATCACTCACCTGTCTGATCACGGATTTAATAATGAGGTCACTCCCTGATATGACGACAGCTCTCAGATCTGATCAACCTGTCTTTTTTCTGATGGTCGGTAAATGATCAATGACGAAATAAGAACAGGATGAAATAAAACCTCATGTTAAAACAATGCAATTTTGTGGTTAACTTGTTCATTTGTGTTGTTGCATTTATATGCAAAATGTTATAAATATGTTTATGTGCAGGATTCATACAAAGGCATGTGAGGGCTATTTTATTAAAATGAATATGAGAGGGTAGGAATATATAAGTTCTATTTTTGGACATGGGGTCATGGGTCATTTGTAGTCGAATTTTCATATGATGTATGATTATATTGATATTTTAGATTAATCAAAGAAAGCATGTCAGTTATTGGGTATTTTGAAAATCCCTTCTTACCCTCCCACATTCATTTAAGATGAAATATCCCTAATTATTTTGTTGATATAGTGCTATAAATAGCAGCATGTCTCTCCTATATATATATATCTATATATATATGTGTGTGTATGCGTGAAAACAAAACAAAAATCACCTATTTACCATAGATTTTTAAAACATTTTATCATTCTCAATTTTATCATAATCTTTTAATGATTTTTTTTATAAATTTGTATTAAAATGTACTTAAAATTTGTCACTGAGTTGATTATTTTAGATAATTGACAATGAAGCTGAATTTTTATCATTATAAGTCATTAATCATTACTTTCATCATGTTTATATATAGATGTAAAGGGAAAATTACAGAGTTAATTACCCAATAATTAACATTGAAGTATCATTTCTATTTACATAATTTAAAAATTGTATCACCATTTGAATTTTCATCAATTATTCACACTAAATACATAAATATTCATCAGTTACTTTCATCAGATAAATATTCATCAGTTACTTTCATTAGATAAATATTCATCAGTTTCTCTCATCAGAAATATTTCTCAGTTATTCGTGTGGTTGAATTTCATGTATGTTGTTTGTGTGAATCCTGACTTATGTATTGTTTTATTATGTTTTAGTTGCAGCATTATTATGGCATCTCCTCAATTAATGGATTATTTTCCTCTATTGTTTTTTTTATTGATTAATGTAATTTTTATTCAAATACTGTTATTTTTTCTCCTTATTTATATGCTTGCATAATTAGAATTTGCTAGAGTAATGTGAATTTGAGATTATGATGGAGAAATTAAAGTTATTGTAGTTTCATTTTTAAAGGGGAAAAAATGGAGTATGTTACTATTTTTAGGTAAAAGAAGGTTAAATACATTAAGTAAAGGACATTATTTGAATTATCCCTATTCTTGCTATTATTCAAAGATCAAAGGAAAGCTTTTACGTAGTCAAGGAATTTAGATATTTTTAATATGGAATCAATTAATCAAGAAGTTGTTATACCAGTTAGGGCTGTAAATTCAGAAATAATTGCGATGTTTTTATTAATGCGAATAATGCGACTGGATGAGTATCGCAATAAGGACTCATATTTTCATATCTGATACAGATAAGTATATGAAGATTCTTCGGACACTGCAATGATTCAGCTCACACTTATGTCTATTCTTAAAAAAAATCACAATTATAAATAATAGCAATATTTTCTGAATTTACAGCAATTTAATCAACAGCTAGCAGTAAGATTAGGGAAATATATACATATGAATTACATAACTTATAATTATAACTTATAAACATAGGAAAATTTGGTATTTCAGAATTTATTGCATTTAGGCTTAAATTTCAAAACATTTTGAATGGTTAAATGTCCTATTGAAAAAATGGTATCTTACCAATGACTTACGAACAATGAATTTACCAATAAACCTTTGGATTGCAAAACATTTATTTGTGATTACTAATCTCATTGATAATAAGTACATATTCCAATCATTGATGTTGCTGAATATTAAGAGTCTAGCAATGAAAGGACTTATGTTTTATTCGATTAAATTTCCTCAGATTTTTGCACCCTAAATTCATACCAGTTTTAAGTGTTTTTTAACACATGATCAGTTTAGTTTGAATTTTAATTAAAAACCTTTAAGATATAGTATGTATTCAAACCAATATTGTGGATTTTAAACTTACTTTCAATTCACCCTTTTATTTACTGAAGTAATTTAAAAAAATTAAATTGAAATAGAATTGCCCTTTTTTCAGGACAATTTGTTAAAATTATTTCATGATTTTGCTTTAATGTATTTGACAATGGCAGTTGACATTTCCAATTTTCAGAAAGTTTGCTTTTTATACTTCATTAACAGATTTATTTTGATGTTGTTTTAACAAGAAATAAAGGGGATCTTTGGGGGTTGGGGTGGGGGTATTTACTATTGCACATTAATGTTAAGGTTGTAAAATTGAAGTCAATAAAAATTTAATAAAAATGAAAATGTTCCTGAACCTAGAATTAATTCTCAGAATCAAATAAGTCAGTGAATTGAATACCTTAAGGTAACACTACAACTTTAGTAGTAATTATTTCTTCCATATATAGTAGTAGGGGACATTGGGTGGAAGGAATTTTTAGCTTGTCCAGACTGCCAATGCTATGGAGTGGACATGGATGCACTGCCTAGTGTAGATGGGTGGGAAAAATCTTTATCCACATTAGATTTTGTGTACATTATATATATATTATGTACATCAACTTAATTGGTTGTGAATGAGGTTCCATCAATGCTAGATTCTTAATAAGCTTTTCCATAGAAAATTTATAATAGGAATAGGACACTTTGAATATAATTTTGTGGGAAATGGGGTATTTATTTTAACATCAACATTCAGGTGCTAAGGATTTGATCCATTTAGATTTTTTGCATGTTGGTTGATAAAGTTTATTACTTCTGCCAAACCCATGTTTGTTTTTATATATTTCTTTGATAGTTGTTGATAGGTTTGAGTGATACATAGCATTGTTTATCAGTTATAATTTATTATTCTATGACTATTTTATTCAAGTTATTAACAGATCATGATATTGATTAATTGGAGATAGGATTTTGTATTAAATTCAGGATTAATTGCATATTGTATTGTATAAATTTCAGGATAGATTAACAAATTATATTATGTTAATTGGATAATTCTAAAAAAAAAAAATGGAACAGTATGGATTTGTTGTAAAATATTGTCTGTATTCATATGTTTTACTGAAAAAAAAATGTCAATTTTATATTGTAAACAGTGTAAAGATGACCAGTTTATGTTTATAAACATTTAAGATAATGAGGTCAGAAAAAAGTGTTCATCCTTTTTAATTTTGTGTAAAAATATAACTTTATACATACAGTGGCAATGTCATTTTCAGAGGCAATGATATTTTGTTCAACATGTTTACAAATTAATATAGATGACTTTGTATCTGTATCAGTCACAATCTAAAGAACAGTCACAAAACAGACAAGTCAAAATTGAGCCTTGAGTCAAAAGTAAAATGACACTGAATTAATATGATGAATTTGCTCTCGCCACAGAGAAAATTATGATTATCTCCCTTATAATGATATGTTTGATCAAAATATTGTGTGATTTTATTGTTTTCAATAAAGTATGAACAAGCTTTTTCTGTTATTATACTTTGACAAAATATAATAAATTTGTGAGTTAACGTTATGGTTACTATATATAGCCATCAAGGTCAACATGGTTGGCAAAGATGGTGAACATCATACCATATATAGATATAAGAAGATGTGGTATGAGTGCCAATGAGACAACTCTCCATCCAAATCAAAATTTATAAATGTAAACCATTATAGGTCAAAGTACGGTCTTCAACAGGGAGCCTTGGCTCACACCAAACAGCAAGCTATAAAGGGCCCCAAAAATTACAAGTGTAAAACCATTCAAATGGGAAAACCAACGGTCTAATCTATATAAAAAACAAGAAATGAGAAACACTTATGATCCACATCAACAAACGACAACTACTGAACATCAGATTCCTGACTTAGGACAGGTGCAAACAAATGCAGCGGGTTTAAACGTTTTAATGGTACCAAACCTTCACCCTTTTTCTGAAACAATAGTGTAACATAACAACATAGAAAGACATGTATTTTTCTGATGAGTATTATTAAAAGTTTGAGGGTTAAATGTCCAAACATACCACATGTTAGTTTTATATGTCAGAGAATAAGGAGATGATGGGAAATATGTTGAAAATGTCAATGAGAAAAAAATACATTATGAAAATATAACAAAAATACATATAAATTTATTCACCTGTCTAGTATAAACTACACTATTAGTTGTTAAAGGGACCTTGATGGCCGATTTGTCTGAGAATTTCATCTGCTATATCATCAGCCGGTCAACACTGAGGTGTGTTTGACTCCTTTCGACCATCAATCAATTAATGTTTTTTGTGAAAGACCAAATTTTCTGTAAATATCTTCTCATTTATAGATGAGGTTAAGTTTTTTGTATGTGATTAACAAGATTATCTGCTAAATCAATCTTGTCAAATTATAGAAACTCTTCAAACATACTGTTGTACCAAACAATAAAAATTGCAACTAGATATATTAATCTGTATAATATCTTATAATGGACCTATAGATAAAGAGAGGCAACAGAGGTTTATTTTATTTCATTGTTTATATTATGCCATTCAGCAACATACAAGTGTTTTATGTCCTTCATTTCATGCTTGTGTGAAAAAAGATTTGTTTTTGCGAAAAGATGACTTCGATCATTTCATGACGTATACTATAGACCAAAAGTTAATTTCTACAATCTCAATACTCTTCAAGTCAAACGTTTTGTGCTTTACATAGAGGAACAACTCCAATTCTTCAGATTGGAACAATTTTCCTTCAAACAACTATCTGCTAGGATTCTTTAAAAAATCCTCGTGCTTTGATATCTCCCTTTTTAGCTCACCAGGCCCAAAGAATCAAATAATCTTTTCTCATCACTTGACATACGTTATTTGTCGTCCCTAGTCGTCATCCGTTAACTTTTACAAAAATCTTCTCCTCTGAAACAACTGGCCCAATTGGAACCAAACTTGACGACAATTATCTTGGGGTATCATGTTTTATAAAATGTGGCAGATGATCCCGCCTGCCAATTAACATGGCCACCAATGGTATAAATAGAACATTAGAATAAAACTCAAGTTTTGTGTTTGACTGTAAATCGTTAAAGACAGAGAAAATCTGACATGGCTGCAATTTATGAACGTCAAGATCTACCTACTGTCCTGTGTAAGTAAAACTGTCAGACGACTTCTTATAGATGTTATTCCATTAAATGACTCTTTAACCAATTTTCTGCAATTTTAAGTGTAAATGACAAAACTGAAAGACAATTTAAGATCTATCAATAGGTCAACATCGCCGAAATTGTCAGTCTTCTTATATTGCCCTTGAATGACGAATTTCAAGTACCCATATTTATATTATTTGTGGAAACCATAGTAAATATGATAAGTATAGGTCTACAAAGCATAAATATGGCCGAAATTGTCAGTCTACTCATTATAGGAGTTATTGCACTTGAATATCGGTTTTAACCAATATCTGTGTTGGTTTTTTGTGAAATAGTCTGGCTGCTCCTTCTAAGAGTTGATCTTGAATGACGATTTTCACTCGTCATCAGTGTGTTTTTGTTTAAACTATATAACATAGAAATAAACTGTTAAGATAAAGTAATATTGATTCGCATGCAGATAGTAGTAATTGCCCTTGAATGAGTATTTTTATCCATTTGTGTGTGTGGGTTTTTTTTTGTCGTTGCAGAAACTGAAAATACCAAAAACTATCAACAGAACAAAATCTTCAAATAAGTCAACATTACCAAAATAGTTATAAGTTTTAGCAGTCAATGCCATTGCATGGTGATTTTTGACGCATATATTTGTGTTTTTTCTTTTGGAAGAAAATAAATTAAATAATGAGAAACTGTCATTAGCAGAAATGAACAGCAGAACAAGACAATTAAAATGTCTTCATGGCTGAAATCATCAGGATATGCTGCACAGGTTTATCTGTACTCGATTTATTTTCGAGATGTTAGCCATTTTTTCTGACCATTTAAGACGAAAATAAAATAATAACTACCAAATCACACTCAAACAAAGAAAAAGAATTGAAAAAAGTCATATCTTTGAGATAGTCAATGAAAATGGTCGTAATTTTTTTGTTATCGTTACTGATAAACATTACATAATTTGCTCATGTTGTTATTACAAAAGATGTTTGGCAACGAGAGGTAAATTTTCATCTGTTTTTAGAACAGTTTGTATATCAGACTTTTTGATGTTATCTTTTAGATTGATTATATTTTGAAATAACTAAGCGTCCATTGTATCATGTTTTAATTTGCACAGTTTGATGCGTTGCATTTGTACGCTTAGATTATGACTATTTTGAGATATTTATACGTTTTGCGTCCTTGAAATTCTTATCTTAAGTGCAAAGCTGTATGTTTCTATTTTGATTCGGCATATTCGATAAAACCAAACAACAATCAGGTAAGTTGTTTGCTATATTATATGAATATTTTGCTCAAAATATAATCAATATTTAATAAATTATAAATAGAAGCTATATCAGAGATCTGCTGTCTCTTTTGCTATCACTTTACAAAATTACATTTTCAAGAACTTTTTTCTAACAAATTTAATTTCACATGATTGAATTTTTGTGTTGACTTTGAGGTTCAGACAAGACCAGTGTTTCATGGACATTTTGACATCTGCAAAATGAGTAGAAAAGACATCAAAAACATGCCAAACAAACACAATCCTAAATTCGACAGATATTTTTCTGTCTTTATAAAACTTTGGGCAATAGATCCATATGACACTCCCACCATTCTAAATGAACATATTACAGTTTATTCTGGGGGAATGCCATGATATGGAACTCTTTCTCATGAGGTAATCAAACTTAACGGGAGACATATTTCTGTTCCCAGACTTATTATTCTGACTCAGAGTAAAGAAGTCAGTTTCAGATTCCTAAGTGCTGTAGAATAAGTGTAAAACAATTGATCGAGATAAACTTGAGGGAATCGTAATGCCAATTAAAGACCCATCCTCTCGTTTCGTGCATTCTCAAATAAAGATATATTAAAATATTTGGACACCAATTTTTCGAAAAGTACGCTGCTGGGGCCTTCTTGTCTTGGGTGTTTAATGTATCATTGTCTCTGGCAGGTAAAACCCGGACAACATATATCAACCATGAAGGTAATAATATTATACGTTCCTAGACTACAATTACAAACATTTGATTTTCGTTGCTTAAGTACCTAGTGTAGACAGTGTACAATCTCAAAATATTTCCAATTCACCTCAGAATTTCTTTCTTCATGCTTCATGTATGACATAGTAAGAAGGTAAATAGTAAATAACTGTCAAACTGAATCAAAGAACACCATAAAATATAAAATTGGCCATATTTTGTGTTAGAGATGGTAGATTTTTAAATACTTTCAAATACTTTCAATATAATTTTTCAAAAAGTATTTGACTTCACTGTAAAAATCCAATTGGGAAAACGCTGGTCGGACTTTTTTCCTAGTTTAATGTGTTTCATTAATTTATTGTTACAAAAAAAAGGCAGTTTCGAGTCTTTTTCAAATTTTTTTGTTTGTATTTTGTACCTGTATTCTTATTGAATCTTTATATAAGGGTCCAGATGGGATCCTTAATTTCTGTATCCTTTGATTTTTAATGCATTTTCTTTATCGTTTTTTAAAATAACGCTCAATTTCCCGTGAAAATGATTTTACCATTGACGTTTTTTGTTACATATGATTTATCTATTCTGTACGTCATTCATTTCTGTAATCAGTACTGTATTACCTAATTCTTTTATTTCACACAATCATTCTTTATACTTTTGCACCACATTATTCTCTACTCTTTAATTTGTTTGCTATTTATTATCGATATATGCCATTCTCTATTCTGTAAACTCCATCCAGACCCCTATAAATATAGATTTAAATACAATTTTGCATGAAGCCATTTTGGCATGATGTATAAGTTCTGTAGGAAAAGACATAGTTGTCAACTATATATTAAAAAAATATATAAAAAAACCTTAAACATTATATTCATTTACGTTCGTATCTATCATCAACACACTGAAACACAATTTCAAATTACTCAAATGATAACTAATATTGTAATCAAATAGTGTGGTAACTCATTGCCAACCAACAACAATTTAATATAATGCAATGCATTATTTTTCACGAGCTATAACGGATAAACGTTAATGAACTATATGACATACACATAAAACAATAAATACGGTGTGTTTATTTTTCAGTGATACACGTGCACAATTAAATATATACCCGTTCCTTTCTTTTATGCACCTTTATATATAAACACACCTTCAGGGATATTTACTTGCACATAGAATACACATCGCCTCAAAATGATATTTACTTTCATTTAGAGTAAGTAACCCTTCTCATAAAATAGATAAATGAATGAATACTGTTCATTATTATTCGTTGGATATCAATTTTCGTGGATTTCGTAGGTACAGGGGAACCACGAATTTAAATGTTCAAAGAACTACAAATTTTTTATATCAATGCATGCATTTAGAACCACGAAACAAATATCCACGAAAATGCAAGATTTCCGCAATTCACGACAACTAGTTCCCGCGAAAAAAACCTAGAATCCACAGTCTACAACATTCCGTGCTACAAAAATCTAAAATGAACCTCGTGTTAACATTGAACAGCAAATCTGAGAACTTACCTAGTTTGTATTTGATACCTAAGCTTCACAAAATTCCGTACAAACATTGCCGGCTCATCTGCATGTTCTACGAAGGATTTGTCCTTTAGATTGACAAAAATTATGTCAGCAGTAAAAGAGGGTCTTCAGAAATACCATGAACTGTTTACTCGCGTAGTGGTATTAACCATATGTGGATTCCAAAAACTCTAGAGAACTTCTTGATAATTTTAAATCTCGATCTTTCTCTGAAATTAATTCTTTCAAAGCTTTTGATTTTTCAACCCTGTATACCACAATTCCCCATGAGGAATTGAAAAATCGTTTAGAACAAATAATCCATAATGCTTTTCAATATAAAAATGGTAGCATACGCTATAAATTTATTGATTTGGGATACCATACGGCATATTTTGTTAATAGTGAACAAAAAGGTAAAACATGCTACACAGAAGACCAATTGATCAGTATGCTGTAGTTTCTTATTGACAACATACTTGTTGAACTTTTTCCAATGGGAACGAACTGTTGGCCTCACCTTGGCGACCTCTTCTTATTTTCATATGAGTTGGAGTTCCTTCAGACACTTGTCAAAAACAAGAAAATTAAAGAAGCTAGATCATTCAATTTCCCATTCAGATACATTGATGATGTTCTTTCCATTAACAATCCAAAATGTTCTGATTGGGTTCCATTAATATATCATCCAGAACTAGAAATTAAAGAAACAACAGACACGGCTTCCTCTGCCTCATTTTTAGACTTATGCCTCCAATTTGACATAAGAGGTCATCTCAGGACCAGAATCTATGACAAACGAGACGATTTAAATTTCGAAATTATAAATTTCCCCCACCTTAGCAGCAATATACCAACTTCACCTGCATATGGGATATACATTTCCCAACTCATTCGGTATTGAAGATCTTGCAACTGCTACTCAGACTTTATAAAACGTCACCAGTGTCTTAACAGAAAGTTGATGAGCCATGCAAGGTTATGTCAAAGAACGTCTCGTCCTTTTTAAAAAAAAGTTCATTGGAAGATACCAAGTCCTTGTTGATGTATATTCCGTATCAACTTCACAAATAATACATGATGGTCTTGAAGTATAGATTCTAGGAACTGACATTGTTTATCATCTTAATAACGTGTTATAGTGGTCCTTTTATTTGTCCTTGTACATTTTTAACCTTTACTGTTTAGTCCATATTTGATAATATACTTTTGGTGTGGCTTTGAACTTATACGACCTCCCATTGTGTTATTGTGCTATGGTCAATTTTGTATTCTTGTCTTTCATTTTTGCTTAATATGTACTTTGTCTATAGAGTGCCTATATTCCAATATGGTTTTCTTTGTTGAAATAGTTATTTGTTTTTATAGTGATTAAGATTATATTACAATGTTGACTGCTGTACCCCAATTTTTGACATTTTCCCCTATTATGTCTGTTTGTTTTGCTCACGAGTTGATGTCAATATAATGGAATTATATGCGACTGTCATACATGTGAGAGGTTTAGATAGCTATAAAACCAGGTTTAATTCACCATTTTCTACATAAGGAAATGCCTGTACCAAGTCAGGTTTATGACAGTTGTTTTCCATTTGTTTGATGTGTTTTTTGTTTTGCACTTTAATTAAGGACTTTCCGTTTTGAATTTCCGATGAAGTTCGGTAATTTTGTTATTTTACTTCTTTCTTAAAAAATGGTAGCAAAAATACTGAACTTCAAGGTAAATTAAAAAAGGGGAAGTCCATAAAAACTGACAAAATCAAACGTTATCCAACATCGGAATGAGTCAAAAACAACTGTTATATTCCTAAATACTTTTTTAGCAAACTAAAATTTCCTCTTGTATGACAGTTGTTTATAGTTCCGTTATGTTGACAAAATTATGTAAACAACCCAAACAGGCAAAATAGGTTAATGTGACAATAATTGGGGCCTGGCAGCTACAACTGTGTCAACATACATCACAGACATACAACACAACAGACCAAATCATTCAAACAAACATATAAATAAATCTAACAAAGACGACAACAAAAGAGTTGTTGTATTTGTTGCATTTGATAGTGAATTTGACAAAGAGGCATAAAAAAAAAGTTTTTGTAGTTGATAGTATATACTATATATAGTTACTATATACATACGGTACTATAATCTTTCGCGATAAATTACAAATAAAGTAAAATATAAATATAACGGTACACAAAGTGGAAACAAAACTGTAAAAACCGTTTGCGTGCGAATAGCATCATAGCACAAAGACAAATAAAGGGGAAAACTGTACAATAAATACAAAATTTTTAATGCATTTTCTTCTGCAGCTAGAACTATAACCCAAGACCATCTTGTATTATTTTTGAAGTAGACCCTGAGTGTTTATCAATGAGTTTTTTTTTTTATTTTTTCTTCCGTTTTTCAAATTAATTTGTAGTTGCAATGTTAATGGCAATCGTTTTTTCTTGCTTTACTTGAGACACAAAACCTTAGCCCTTAGGAGGATCAGTTAAAATCCCTAAAGTTTAAATTCCAGAATCAAACGCGGTCTTCAGCAAACGCTCTTCAGATCCTGGGGATCAAATGGACGATAACTAATTGCTTATTCGAATTTTTATTGGTCCATCTGTTGGACAATATGAATATCAAAAAGGTGCATCATTATTTTTTACTTAATAATTAGCCAAGTAAATATCCAAAAACTTTTTATTCAAGGTCACGACATCTCTGAGATTGGATTATTAGAAATCGTATTTCGAAAGTGTATGAAAGATCAACACGAGCAGTACAAGTTGTTTTTACCAGATATTGAACAGCAATGGGCAAACTACTGTGTCTGAAGCCTTCCGATATTCATTATAGTCAGGATTCCATTTCGAATACATTTGGAAAGTCAACAGTTCATTCGGATAAATATATCGGTGAAACATTAGATGATCTTATAAATGGAACAGTAAAGGTTAACAATATACCAAACATTAGTGTATTTATACACAATAACAAATGGTTCACTACAGACAATCGCAGATTGTGGGTGTTCCGAAAAGCAGAAGAACTTGGAATATTACGTTCTATTCCAGTTTCTCTAAATCTATGTATAGATTTAACTAAATTAACTACAACAGATGATGGATTAACTGTCCGCGTAAGGAGAAATAACCCAGGTGGACAGACATGGCGTCGTCTAAGTGGGGAAGGGTATACAAACCCGTATCAAAACTATACTGAATCTCATTTTTCAAACAGGTCGACTGACACATGTGATATGCGGGAACACAATATTTTTAGACATAAATATGACGATGGTTCATACAATTATTTTATGTCTTTGAATGATATTCGTCCTTATTCAGAATTTGCAAACAATTTCGAGAATTCCAAACAATCGTATTCTAGTCCATCAAATTATTTTAACGATCCTTTATTTGAAAAAAGGAAAACAAGTTCAGATTATGGATACAAAAGTAATCATAACAGCGAGGAAGAATCGAGTACATGGCTTGTGTTGCTTGGTGTTGCAGTTGTTGTTACTCTTGCCCTTTTGTTGTTTGAATCATAATAGTTTTTTTTTTATTGTCAGACACTAGGTTCTTATTGAAGTTTTGGGAATATCTCTTATGCTAATTAAAGGTTTCATAACGAGATCGAGTGAGAAAAATCACTCATCAAAGATACCAGGCTTTATATTTCTAAGCCAGACGCGTGTTTCGTCTACAAAAGTGACACTCAAATCAAAAAATTAATTGGGATGTAAGCTTTTTTCATGAAAGCAAATCTAGAACTGTCAATCGGGTGCAGCAAATTCGATATGTTCAATTTTGTTTATTCTCTCCTATATATGTCATACCATGTTTATGTTTAAATACAAGTACAAGGATTTGAACTGCAAATTAGATTTTGAATTAACCGCACTGATTAGATTTTCAAATAAAGACAGTTTGTAATGTAATATGTACATTGGTAAGAGATTCCGGGTATCGGATTGCATAATGTATTTTTCGTTTGAACTTTAAATAGTCCTTTATAAGTATTTGAGGCCATCGGAAATATATTACACCCAGGAATCAATTTCTTATACATTTGGAAGAGCCACAAGACACAGTAACATGTATGTTGGAGACACATTAGATGGACTTATAAATCAATCAGCCAAAGTTACAAGTATTCCTAGAATCAGCGTGTTTTGGTTGAACGGCAAGTGGTTTACACATGACAATCTTAGACTCTGGGTATTCCGAACAGCAGAAGAACTTGGAATATTAAATTCAATTCCAGTATATGAAACTTCTGGGGTTGATTCAAGTAAGTTCACAACATACAACGGGGGATCAAGTGTGCGTGTACAAAGTATTACTGGTGGATCAGTTTGGCGTCAACTGAGTCAATCCTTGAACCTCACGAGTTTGAACTATAACGACCCTGGAACAACAATTTATAATTCTAGACCAGAAGAGTAATCATATTCTACTCAAATTAGACAACCTTCTTCTACACTACCGGACTATTCCAATGTTAAACGATCCTATCAATCTTATTCTGGATCGCAAAATTATTCAAGACAAAGATTAAATGAATATGCCGAGGACCGAAGTGTTCGAGAAAATGTGGGTTGGAAGTATGCCTCGGTCGGATTTTTTTATCATTATATTTCTTGTACTTGTCGAACTTTTGTATACACAATGGTACATAGTTTTCTTTTTATTGATGATTTCGAAATTAAAAGGTTAAATGTGATTTGACAAAGGACATGGCAGAAAAGAACAATTTTTTTCCCCAGGTAAAAACTCATCAACGATACCAGGCTTATAACACCATTTAAAATGGCTTACAATTATGGCTGTATGAATGTTATACGTAAATATGTCGATATTACAAATCCGATGGAGTAGGGGTATTGAAAGGAAATACAACTTTTTTGGATGGCTAAGAATCATGGCTCCAATTCCGGATGTATATCAACGATTTTTTGAATTTTAACTAAATTTTATAAACATTAATATAGAAATGCAATTTATTTGCATGTTTTTTCATGCACAAGAACACCTCCGCCACACGCACATATATTATATAAGTTTCTTTTTTCATTGTTTGGAATAATTGAATGGAAACTGTCTACTCATAGGACAAGGCGCGATGAGGGCCATTTTTGGCACCACCTCCAAATTTCATTAAATTTGTCATGTTGTAACTCTATACCACAGACACTCTGAAAATGGTGGCATTTTGGGTCCATCTCGTATATTCTGTTGACTAGGAACTAGTAAAATGGTGGAGATAAACTCATTAAATATGCTAAATATACAGCTTAAATCTATTTATATTTGAAATCAAACCTGTTTAACATGCAGTCACACAAAAATGTCGGCATTCACCTCAAAATCTAACCAAACCTTTAAACAGACCTATTCGGAAAGGATATAGTTACGATACTGTTGTCAAGTCATTAAGGATTGCATATTTATGTATTAATATTGATTCACTCATAGGGTCTTTGCATCGGAAATAAACACATTTATTCTAAAACCAGTTGTTGGCATGATACGGGTTATGTTCTTCTCATATATTTTATGATGGTAATCTACTAAACCCCTAACGGGAGGGATTGTACTTGATTTTCATATGATGAAGACATAATCTTTCAATCAGTTAAATTGAGGTCTGGAGCTGGCATGTCTGTAACTGCTAGTAGTCCTTTGTTCATTTATGTATCATTGTCATTTTGCTTAGTTTCTTTTGTTACCTAGTCTGACATCGGACTCGGACTTCTTTTAAATTGAATTTTTACTGTGCGTATTGCTATGTGTTTCTTTATTCTACATTGGCTAGAGGTATAGGAGGAGGGTTGAGATCTCACAAAACATGTTTAACCCCGCCGCATTTTTGCGCCTGTCACAAGTCAGGAGCCTCTGGCCTTTGTTAGTCTTGTATGTTTTTTAATTTTAGTTATTTTATATGTTTTGGAGTTCAGTGTGACGTCTATTTTCACTGAACTAGTAGACAATTTTATTTAGGGGGTGCGGGAATTTCTCGCTGCATTGAAGACCCATTGGTGGCCTTCGGCTGTTGTCTGCTCTTTGGTCGGGTTGTTGTCTCTTTGACATATTCCCCATTTCGATTCTCAATTTTATAGTATATTTTACATTTATACACTGTTTAAATTTAACACAATGTAATGCACATTTCTTGGCAAAATCATTGTAATTTCATCCTTCAAACTTTGCCCATAGCAACAGCAATTTGTTTTCTATTTTACATGTTTAACTTTTAGTATGTTGCAACAAAAAGATAATTCAAGATGTACATTGTAAAAAGTAACAAACTCCAAGGAAAATGTCAAGGATATAATTATATCAATGCTGAAATATCAACAAACAAAACTACAGACAAACAATAGTAATTCTCCAAGAGAATATGGTAACGAAATGCACTTCTAGAGATCATCTGTGGAGTAAAAAAATTTACCATTGCCCTTTCGGTGAAATTGCTTGTTATTACAATTTTTCACCTTGTATAGTCTTTTAATTATACCGGGTATTGATGATATAAACAGATTGTCTCTAGTGCTAGTGGAGTCCCTTTAAGTGTTCCCCCCGCTGTGGGGTCTTACTAATTAGCGAAGAATAATTTAGCGACAAGAAGACTAATTTATCGCTAAGAAATCGTAATATTAATTATTCAAAATAAATAAATATATAAACATGCATTAAAGGATGTTTTTTTAATATAAGTGTATTTGCATTACAGTACTTATGTAGAGTCAGCAAGTTTGACATATAAAAATTCAAACCAAATTATAAGATAATCTTATCTTTATTTATTTCAGACTCAAAAGGACCATAATTTTATTCTGCGACACAAATTATTCTGTGAGTACTTATTTTAAATTAAAAATAATGTAATTTTTTTTTCACTAATTACAAAACTGTAGTGCTACTTAATAAAACAAGAATTGAAACTTTATTAAACAACAAATAATCAGCTGTAACTAATTGACTTTTTCTATTAATTTATTGTTTTGATAGTATATAAACTGTCTTGTTGCTAAATTTGTCTTCTAGTCGCTTAGTTTTCTTCTTGTCGCTATTCTTCATTTTCTTGTCGCCAATTAGTGAGACCGACCGCCGTGGTGGAGGGGCCATTGCGGTTGGTTTCCCGTCCGTTCGGTCCCAAAACACATTTGTACCTTATACGTTCGCAGCCCACACGTTCGCCCCCTAGGTTCGTTAGCATCCTATTTTTATTCAAATACAGGTTGAATTATTAAATGTATATTTGTATTTTCAGATATATATATATATCAAAATTTTATATTTTCATGAATAAAAATTCATGAATTTCTTTTGATGAAATAATTTTTTGGGTGATATGATGGTTAAGTATTAAAAGTTAATCATTTATGATTACTCTTAATTGTATCTATGAATCTTATTTGGTATTATTGATATGTGTTTTAAAATCATGATAGCTGTTATAACTAGTGGTGTAAAGTGAAATACAAGTAGTTAGCTTGGTTAGTGTATAAACAATGAAGATTCTTAATAGAAAACATGAAAGTTTATTGTTTTTAACAGCTTGACTCCTTATTCTCGTGTGTATTTGGACAAGTATGATATACAACAACGCCAAACATGGTAGAGGGTCTGGATGTTGGGTCCTTTATATCTGTTTTCCTTAAATTTTTCTCTATTCTTTATATATATTATTTGTTTTTATTCGTTGTTGTCATTGTGACTAGTTTGATATTCGTTTGGTATCTTCCGCCTTTCTTTTACAAGTCTTAGAGACTTATGATTCGGCCTTTGATCATCATGACAATATTCATTATTCATTATGTCAAAATAATTCACAAAACAATACCTGTTTACATTTTTAGAATGTCACTTTATTTATTTTTAGACAATAAAAACACTTATTATCTTTATTTTGTAGGAATACACTTACTAAAGCATGCTTAAAAAATATTCAAAACATAACCTTTAAAAAGGGTGCAGACGTGTAGGGTGTGAACAGACCCAGGGTGCGAACGTGTGTGTTGGGAACATGAAAGGGAGCGAAAGTGAATGAGAGCAAACATGATATTGGGCGATCGGACCCAGAGGCTCTTTTCACAAAAAATCTTACGATTAAAATTGATCGTAAGTTATACTGCAAGGTATGACTTACGATTCTTTTTACTCAAGTTTTTTTGGTGAAAAGTGTCGCAGATTTATTACAGTTTACCCTTGTCCATTGGTACGTCAACCAAATTGTTCTGAAACTTATACACAATCCGTTTTACGACCAAACACAGATCAAGTTAGAATTTGGGTGGCGTCACTCACACTGTTCTGGAGTAATGTCCCTTTATAAGTGGAAAAACAGCAATTTTGCGGTTTCCATTCTCTTTACTTTGCCCTAATCAAATGTTAGGAAACTTGTACTCAATAATTATTACCACCATTACTCAAAGACATATCAAATTCGAATAATGGCGGCATCATTTTCAAAATAATTATCATGTTTCTCACCAATTATAAAAAAAAAATCTTTTAAATCTTTTTTCGGTGTATTTTGTTTTCTGGAATGAAATACAACCCCCCCCCCCTTTTCATAAATCATGGATCCGACCCTTATACCAGAATACCAGAGAAGATTGTCCAATTTCGAACACCAAATTTTGAATTGAGATTACCAGAAACATAAGAAATGAAATGGCAGATTTTGTTAAATTGTATATCTATCTCAAATTTCGTATTTGAAAAATTTCAAAGTTATCGTTGACTCCCTAAAAATATGTAGTTCATTGCTTTTGGAATTTTTAAATGTTAAACTAGGTATACTTACGAAAATTATAATGGAAATACATGGTACTGATTCATAAGCGAAAAAGTAAAATTCATATAGGCATAAGAATGTATAAATTAAACTTTGTCAGAAGAACAGGTCTAATTTATAAGGCAAATTTCAGCTTTTTATTGCTCTGCTTGGCTATGAAAAAATATAAAATAAACAATCGCACCAACCTTGCACCAAACAGAATTTTTTATCTGAAATTTGAAATGTATGAGCCTGTAAAACTGTAAAAAATCAAATTGGTGCAAGCCTGGTGCGGTGGTAATAATGTAGGAAAACCATCCCGATTTCTGTATTTTTGCTTATTTTCCCGATTATGACGTCATTTGCACTTACCATTGTGACGTCATTAAACATATTTTTGTTAGATAAAAACAGATTTTTTTAAATCATTGTCTCATATTCTAATAATTTATGGAGAAAAATCTGCTTGGTTAAACTTTTCATTATTTTGTAAATCTGGGACCATTTTAGGCCATTATAGCCTATACTCCTTTATCTTACATAAATGTGTGTTACTCCTATATAGTCCTTATTAAATAAATGATTTGTTCAGATAGAAGCCTGAAGACATTGATTTCCGTTATGTTTTTTTTTTATTAAAAAGTGTGACATAAAATACATTTTGTCAAATTTTAAAATCATTCTGTTCATTATTTAGGGAAACATGCACCTTTGACCTAGTATGTCTTTTTTTTTAATTTCTTGATATTTCAGTGAAATTTTGCAAAAATGGAATATTCTGAGTGGATTGAGTCCACAAAATGGAAGGACTTGAATCTTTTTATATATTTTAAATAGCAAAAATAATTACAATTGATAAAGATAAATATTTAGCAAAACATGCGGAAAACCCCCCTTTTTCCGCCAAGAATATAAAATTATCAACTTGTCGGTCCTTTATCATCGTGAATCCGGTTGACAAGGAAGGATATGTAATAGCTTTTTTTAAAAACCATTGTTAACCGAAACAAACAAAAATGAATAGATTATAAGTCTGGTATGTTTAGAAAAATATTGTTACGTTTATTATTTACAGAAATTTTCTATAAATAAAAGTGAAACAATCAGAATATTGATCTATCGTGTATATATTTTTAGATATATGTTATTGCAATTTTTGGAAATCGTTTATCGAAAGTGAAAGTACAAGTTTTTATTACCATAAGTTGAACAGAAATGTGCTTGTACCTGCAGCCTTCCAATATTCATTATAGTCAGGATTCCATTTCAAATACATTTGGAAAGTCAACAGTTCATTCGGATAAATACATCGGTGAAACATTAGATGATCTTATAGAAGGAACAATAAAGGTAAACAATATACCAAACATTAGTGTGTTTATGCACAATAATAAATTGTTCACTACAGACAATCGCAGGTTGTGGGTGTTCCGAAAGGCGGAAGAACTTGGAATATTACGTTCTATTCCAGTTTATCAAAACTTGTGTATAGTTTCATCTAAACTAACTACAACAAATGGTGGATTAAGTGTACGCGTAAGGAGAAATAACCCGGGTGGACAGACATGGCGTCGTCTTAGTATGGAACGGGTTAGAAACCAATTTCAAAACAATACTCATACTTTAAGCCGAATGAATATGAGTGAAAAAAATGTTCCAAGGCTCACAAATACATCTACAAAAAGTTCACCAAGTTCTTATACGAAAGTAAATCGTCCTTATTCAGGATTGGTAACCAATTCCGATAAACCCCAACAGTCTTATTCTAGATTATCAACTTATATCAAGGATCCCTCAAATCAAGAAAGGAAAAGTAGCCCAGATTATGACCTCAACAGAGACGATAGGAAAAAAGACGAATCGAGGACATGGCGTGTCTTGCTTGGTGTTGCAGCTGTAGGCGCTCTTACCGTTTTGCTATTGAAACTATAATTCGTTTGCTGTTCGTCCCTTTATTTTTACAACTTTAATTTTGAGGATATCTTGTTTAATAAAACATATTCAGAACTAAATGTAAATAACGAAGGTAAACACCTTGACAGTAAGATTTTCACTTTTATTAACTCTGAATCATATTATTAAATGTTATCAGTTTCTTTTTTAAAGTATTTTTAGTCTTAGATAGACATTCAACACTGCTAGTTCATGTTTGGTGTCGACAGGATGCACTTACTCTTCCAGGGCATGATTTTGACTAAGCTATTAATTCCTTTGTCTACTGTTCGTTGATCCCTTTTTTGTCCGTATGTCAACTCATTGCTGGCGGCAGTTTGATATCTTTTCCTGTATATCTGGTTAATTTGTGTCGTTGTTGTTCCATTGACGTTTAGCTTACATTTCATTTTACTTATATGAAGACCATCTTTTCAGTCTTTGACAATTTTGATTTAAATTTTAGCACTTTGCTTCGATTTCGATCTTTCAATCGGACCTCCCAGATACCTCTAATATATGTTAGTCTCAAATCTATGTCTGGCCTCAAAGCTATGTGCCGCTTCAAATCTATGTCCTTTCCTCTAATCTGTGTCCTATTTTATATTGCGCCATAGACGTCCCAAATCTATGTGCTTTCTTTTCTGAAATTTGTGTCCTATTTTATATTGCGTCATAGACGCCCTATACAGTAGCTATGTCCTTTCTTTTCTGAAATCTGTGTCCTTTTCACCAAGGTATGCGCTGTCATATGTGCCGACGTCATAATTATCAAAACATCTGCGAGGAAATAGATTTGTTAAAAACACGGAAATAAAAAAAGCAACGTTGAAAAAGAAGGACAGTGTTACATTTAAACTAGAAACGAATAACAATTACTGACATTGTTTACAAAATTGGGAGAATTTAGGTGCCCAGAAAGTGTAGTAAAGTCCCGTTTTTGGAAACACCCAAAAGGAAATCGTCTGCAAAGGGGATAAGGTGTGTAAAATCCTTGTTGGGAAACTATCCTTTTAATCTCCTGACCGTCTTTGCCTGCAGGTTTATGACATTACTAGATACTCGTTAATAAGCTTTAAAGCACAAGGATTGAGGACACATTTTGACAGATGATTAAAATGCGGCTATTTTAGTTAGAGGACATAGATTTGAGTCCAAACTTTTTACAAGGACATAGATTTTCGTATGTTGTAACTACTAAACATACATTTAAGGCCGTACTTTTCAACAGACATAGATTTGCGAATGACGTTACGATTGGACACATATTTGAGAATAGGACATAGATTTGAGGCCGTACACGGATTTGAGGATTACATATACATCAGGTCTAGAAATATATCTAACAATATAAAAATAGGTATCAAACTTTAGTTGTCGAAAAGTCTGTTTATAAAATGTGTTTGGTTGATTAAAGAGTTTGGTTTTTCCTCCCTCTTTAGTGTTAGAATCCTTTCGAAAACATTTCTCCAAATGAATTTTTTTTTATTTTTCTTTTTTTATGTTTCCTAATGAAAACACAATTGGAAAGTTAATGCCCATTGAGTGCAGCAAATTCGCTATATTTTATTTCGATTCATTCTCGCGGAAATATGTTTTATATTATGTCATACCATGTTTGTATACTAAAATGAAGTAAAATAACAAAAATACCGAACTCAGAGAAAAATTCAAAACGGAAAGTCCTTTATTAAATGGTAAAATAAGAAGCTCAAATACATCAAACGAATGGAAAAAAAACCTGTCATATTCCTAAAATACAATGATTTGAATTACATATTTGTTCCTTTTTAATTTAATAAGTAAAGGATATAAGCCGATAACAGTCCATTCTGTCCAATATTTTACAGAATGGACTGTTAAAGGCTTATAACTTACTTAAAACATTGTTTAACACGTCAAAAAAAGGTGAAAAAAGCAAACAAATACAAACTTTTGTTAAGATTTATTTTCATCAAGTGTGTTAATTTTTTTGTGAATAAACTTCATTTACATTATCCTACATATTGGCCTCTTTAAACAGTAGCTCAAGTTAAACAATAGTACAGTTGAAGGTAAACAACATGTATTGCTCCATGTACACGAAGACACATCGTATGCGTATCATGATTTTTGCATGCGCTAGGACGACTTTATATATTTTCCGAGAATACCTTTACATGCGTTTGGTGTCTCAAAATGGACAAAGACGATGAAAGTATAATCTTAATGCAAACAACGAAGAAAATGATGTCGTAATTAGTGATTGTGTTGTTTCAAAATTTGGATTAAAATCAAATGTGTATTCAAATATATTCGATTTCAGTGTGGATTACAAAGATAATATAGTTATAGCAGCTAATAATGGCAAGTTATATATATATATTTTAAAATGTAATCCTCTCCTATTATTTCCTTATTTCTTCTGGGGTTTTATTTCTTATTAGGTGAATGAGAAAAAAAGAAAAAAAACATGCGAAGATAATCAGGTTCACGTTGAAGAAAAAGGTTCAACCATATCGAGTGCACCGCAGTCGATTTTATTTCAAATATAACACTATAACATATAATTAATGAGCACAAATGAAGAGATAACAACATGCAATCAATTCAAATTCTTTGTTTGTTCATCGGAATTGTTTTAACCATCTTATATTATTTCAATGAATTTCAAGAGAATTATGATCCAGATAGTATATCTTTTATTTGTAAAAATCAATTAATATAGTTATAATATCTAAATTCATCGCCATGAAATGTCCGGAGATCAATAAATCGATCAGACCTATTCACCTACTATACTGAAAAAATATGTATATTCACAATTTGCCGTATGACAGTATGACGCAGGCCTACTCTTATCTTCCTCGTTGTTTTTTTTTCAAGGTCGTGTCACTCTTTTCGTTTATTTGCGTATTGATGTCCCTTGTTGTTTTTTTACATGTTACCGAAACATAATTTTGTCTCTCGTTTTCCCTTTGCAAAAAACGCTTTCTTATTTTCTTTCGAAACAAAGCATTGCAGGTGTACATATCTTTGTTCTGTGCTTAATGTATAATAGTTGCCCTCAATCAATTTTACCTCTGAGATCTCAACTAAAGTGAAGTGTCTGAAACTGTTTGGAAAGTACATTGGAAAGAAACAATTGAATTCGTATTTTGATGTTATATATGGTAAAACACTTTTAATAAACCCCCTTTTTCAATCAATTCAATGCAGAAAAGGGTTTTATGTTCAAATTTATATAAAACAATCACAAGCTGTCTAAAACTTATTTAACAAACATTTGATTAAATCTAGCACCTACGTTAATTTAATTTCAAGAGAGCACATCGGTTCAATAAAAAAAAACAAAACAAAAACGATCACTACGAACAAAGTGCGAATCGGACACATTATTGATTTGTTTAACAGATAACCTGCGGTAACGTGTTCCTTTATTCTGCTTCCCATATTCATCGTCGTTGATAAGCGAAGTGTTGCATTATATTCCTATTCAAGCAATAATATCAGATTAAAAAAAAAAAACAACTTGTAAATCAACGCCGACACCTGCAAATTATAAAAACTATTGTAGTCCCCTAGTTCAGGAAGCAAGTTCTCGATTTGCACTTTGTACACAGGGTGAGGTTTGGGTTGTTAATCAAATTCTTGATTAGCTATTTTGTCCATTTACTTCAGATGAACGATGATCTATCAAGCTTTAGAAGCATTATTTCATTTTTTTTTTCATTTTAATTGTAGCTGAAAATGATGTTAGGAAGAAAAAGAGCAACACCAGAGGTCGATTTTGATACTCAAAGACGGACGAGGATACATCTTTTGGAAAAAGAAATACCTAAAAGCAACAAAGACAAAACTTACCACTAGCATTATCAACCAAATTGGTGCTAAAGGATACAACCCAAAACATGGAAAAATGGCTGTGAAATAAGTGTTGGCAGTGTTAAAATCAATTTGAAAGTGATTTTTATCTCTCAAGAAACCGTCTTGATGAGTGACAAAATTAATGTATTGGAAGGTGACTTTAATAAAAAAAAAATTATGTAATTATCATTTGTTCTTTCGTTGTATTTTTTTTTTTTTTTTCACATGAAGAAAAAAATTGTGGGAATTGATTGATTTTTTTCAGTTCTTGAAATATAATTTACCTGTAAGGATCAATTATGCTACCTTCAGGTGTCCAATATTTTAAGGAAGAGAAGGGTTATTCTTACACATATTGGACAGTTGAAGGTAACATAATGGTTTCTTACAGGTAAATGATAGTCCAATCACTGAAATAAAGAACGGGTACAACAATAGAATGACGTCACAACAATGTTTTAACTGCACTAGTTAGCTTTTTGAAATATCGACCTTTTGTAATGTAATATGTACTTTAGAAAGGTATTACGGCTATAGACTATATATACAATAAGATATCTTCATAAATCATATTTCAAAAAAAGGAAACTAACTTTGCATAGTCGCAAACATGAATTTAAGGCCATCAAAAAAGATTTAAACTCAATATTCGATTCCAAATTGATTTGGATGGTCAACAAGCCATAGTAACATGTATATTGGAGAAACATGAGATAATCTTATCAATGGATAATCAACTGTCAGTAGAAGTGCTAGAATAGGCGTTTATGCGAAATGGCAAGTGTTTCACAAAGGAGAAACGCCGTCTCTGAGTTTTCCGAAAAGCGACAGAACTTGGAATAGTAGATGAAATTTTAGTGGATAAAAATCCTGAAGTGAATCCAATCAAATTTACAACGATGAATTGTGGATCAAGTGTACGTGTACGACGTAATGATCCCGGTGGATTAAATTGGCATCGGCTCAGTAAAGGGAGATCTGGAAATCAATACAAAAACTATAATAGTCAATCCTTAATTTGCTCAAATTTGTCCAACTTCCCCGAAACAAAACATTATTCAGGATCACCACATTATATGTTTTCGGCGCAAACAAGTTGTTCGTCGTTTTCATTATCAGAATCTTCTTGTTCCGATCAATCTTATTCTGGATCACCATGTTATTCAAGAGAAATGTCTGTGTAACAAACAGTCAAATTTAAACGGTTATACCCATGACGGTGGTGTTCATTCAAAATTAGTTTTGAAGTGTTTTGACATTTTCTTTAATAAATTTCTTGTTCTAAATATCAACATTTTATTTAGGGACCAGCTGAAGC